GTGGAGCTATATAGTATATAAAGATTTTTTCTGCATACTATACTATTCTGCCATTTATCTTCGTATGGTTTTTTCGTTATTATTTCCACTTTTAAAACATGGCATTTTTCGTTTTAAAACGATTATCTGCATTTATCGTACTTTTTCTTTGTTTTTTTTGTTGTTTCAATTACCTTTATCTCAAATTTTTTTCATTACTTTTACTTGTTTAACTTTTTTTGTTTTAAACTATTTTTCGCATTTTTCATTCTTTTTCTGTGTATTTTATTGTTTTAATTACCTTCTTATCAACTTTTTTTCATTACTTTTACTTGTTTAACTCTATTATCTGTTTTAAAACTTTTTTTGCATTCTTTTTCTGTGTTGATTTATGGTTTTATAATATTTTCCGTTCACATTTCATATTTATTCACCATTAATTAAAGTGTTATTTGCATATTTAAAGTTTTTTATCACATTTCCGTGTGTGTTCACTGTATGCATGTATACGGCATGCTTTATAGGCCTGTATTAGACCAGGTATAGAACTGGTACTGTGCTAAGCACTGAGCAGTAGTTAGGCAGTTTAAACCTGTCACACTTCAATTCTTTCGTCAGAAAATATACTTTACAAAATAAACCTCAAACTAGAGAACTACAGCTCTAGAGGACTAGAGAACTAGAGGACTATAGAACTAGAGGACTAGAAAACTAGAGGATTAGAGCTCTAGAGGACTAGAGAACTATAGGACTAAAGAACTAGAGAACTAGAGGACTAGAGTTCTAGAGGACTAGAGAACTAGAGGACTAGAGAACTAGAGGACTAGAGAACTAGAGGACTAGAGAACTAGAGGACTAGAGAACTAGAGGACTAGAGAACTAGAGAACTAGAGAACTAGTGAACTATAGAGATCTAGTGAACTATAGAGAACTAGAAATCTATAAAACTAGAGAACTAGGGAACTATAGAACTAGAGAACTAGAGAACTAGAGAACTTGAGAACAGGGAACTAGAGAACTAGATAACTAGAGAACTAGATAACTAGAGAACTAGAGAACTGGAGAACTAGAGAACTAGAGAACTAGAGAACTAGAGAATTGGAGAACTAGAGAACTAGAGAACTATAGAGAACTAGAGGACTAGAAAACTAGAGAACTAGAGAACTTGAGAACTAGAGAACTAGAAAAATAGAGAACTAGAGAACTAGAGAACTAGAGAGAACTAGAGAACTATAGAACTAGAGAGCTAGAGAACTAGAGAACTAGAGAACTAGAGAACTGGAGAACTGGAGAACAAGAGAACTAGAAAAATATAGAAATAGAGGAATAGAGAACTATAGAGAACTATAGAGAAGTATAGAGAACTAGAGAACTAGACAACTAGACAACTAGAGAACTAGAGAACTTGCGAATTGGAGAACTAGAGAACTAGCTAGAAAACTATAGAGAACTAGAGAACTCGAGAACTTGAAAACTAGAGAACTAGAGAGCTTGAGAATTGGAGAACTAGAGAACTATAGAATTTGAGAACTTTAGAACTAGAGAACTTGAGAAATAGAGACATAGAAAACACACAGAAAAATGGAACTTGAGCCGAAAGCTAGAGAGATTTTAAAACTTGGGGAGTTAAGAACTGAAGAACTTAAAATAAAAGAAGTCGTTATATTTTAATTAGGATTTTATGGTTGCAGAATGACTCTTAAAACATCATAATGAAAGAGAGTTTAGAAAATGGTTTTAACGGACTTTTGATTCAAATACAACTTATTGTTCTAGCGTTAACAATCTGTTTTAAAGGAAGAAAATTCAACCAACCAGCTTTATGGTGAAAAAAATGCGATATAGCTGTAGTCCATATTTTAAACATAGCATATCTTTAAATCGTCATAGTGCAACGTTTTACTTCTATTGACATGAAATAATATTAATTATAATAAATGTATTAATCTGAATTACCTTTCTTCTAATCCACCATGCAGAGAAGAGAAATACAGTGTGCTCCAATAAACATGACAGTTTAAAGTAAGACACATTAAAATGTTTAATGGGGAAAAAACAGTTTAACAATCTAATGTGTTTTTAATGTTCTTATATAAAATTAAAAATAACCACATTTAGTGAAATGGCTCTGTGGTTACGTTTGCTGTGGTTCATGTTCAACGGACTTCTTATTATCATAACCTATGCCGCAACAACACGGTCTTTCTATTCTACAGTTTTATAAATCTCACTAAAGGATGCAAGTCATATTTATCGTCTTTAGTCTATCATGTTTATTGGAGCACACTGTATAATAACTACAAAAAAATAACGTTCCACAATTCTAAACTACTTAATTGGTGTAATCAAATTAAATTCGGTGTTTTCAGAACACTGATGATTTAAACTGCGTTAAAGTCTCTGTGAAAACTTGGCCTGAGGTCAAGATGAGTCATACCAAATATATAAGGAGTGTAGAGGGGGAGGTGGGGCCGGGGGTACTCTGTGCCTGGTTCAGCTCCAGGTATCTTTAGGACCACGGGGGGTTTCTCAACCAGGGTCTTAGTATATGCATCTGTCTAGTCGCTATGTTTCCTTATATTTAGGATTCCCTGCAACTGTAAATGTATGTTTCCTTATATTTAGGATTCCCTGCAACTGTAAATGTATGTTTCCTTATATTTAGGATTCCCTGCAACTGTAAATGTATGTTTCCTTATATTTAGGATTCCCTGCAACTGTAAATGTATGTTTCCTTATATTTAGGATTCCCTGCAACTGTAAATTTGCTTCATTCTTTGCCTAATCATTTTTACAAGACTATAAAATTACTATATCCATGGCAGAATACTAAAAATAATCTTGAAAACGTCATATTTGAACAATTTAACATCGTCTTTACTTTCTTATTCTTTGTGGATAGTACCCTGTAAAATATTCAAGTGTTATACAAGAAGTCAAAACTGCAACAACAATTATTTAGAATCAATGTTTTCATACAGATATATCGGCTCACCACATAAAGGCAAATACAGAAAAGGCACTAATGCAAGGAAAGTTAATTGCTGTTGCGTACTCTCTGCGTACATATTGAAACCAGTTCTCTCTGGGCAGTGTATGTAAACAAGAAGAGATGCATCACCGTGCTTCTAGTATCCGAGGAGGATAAAAACATTTAATTTTGTTAACTTTGATAATTAACATAAAAGTTTCCTATTACCAGAATATTTTTGTGTTTACTTTACAGCCCAGAGACAGTGCACTGCAGTACAAAAAATGCGTACACCTCTGAAATAACTATCTTTACATTATAATTCTTTGAATACCAACAACATTTAATTGTTAAAAAATTTAAAATATAAACAAGGAAAAAATAGCTAATCAGCAAAATATGAGTTTTGGATACGCTATTCACAAACGTAGTCAAGTAAGGTATAAATAACGTAACGTAAAGTAAAGGTACTTATCGTGCAATTAGTCAAAGAATTATAATGTAAACTATTATGTGAATTATCAAAATTGTAAAAATTTCATATTTTTATCCTCCTCTGATACTAGATTTCAATATGTACGCAGAGAATACGCAATAGCAATTAACTTTCCTTGCATTATTACCTTTGATGTAGTCAAGGGTGAGCAGCATATAATTAAAGTGGGTACAAAATGCTGAAAACCGAAGCGTTGAATGACAAAATGCTGAAAAACAAAACGTTGAATGACAAAAAGCTGAAAAAACAAAACGTTGAATGATAAAATGCTGAAAAACAAAACGTTGAATGACAAAATGCTGAAAAACAATACGTTGAATTACAAAATGCTGGAAAACAAAACGTTAAATGACAAAATGCTGAAAAACAATACGTTGAATGACAAAATGCTGGAAAATAAAACGTTGAATGACAAATGCTGAAAAACGTAGCGTTGAATGACAAAATGTTGAAAAACAAAGATCTAAATATCCAAGATTACAGGGTTGGATCTAAATATCCAGGATTACAGCATTGGATCTAAATATCCAGGATTACAGGGTTGGATCTAAATATCCAGGATTACAGGGTTGGATCTAAATATCCAGGATTACAAGGTTGGATTTAAATATCAAAGATTACAGAGTTGGATCTAAATATCCAGGATTACAGAGTTGAATCTAAATATCCAGGATTATAGAGTTGGATCTGAATATCAAGGATCTTACAGAGTTGAATCTAAATATACAGGATTACAGAGTTGAATCTGAATATCAAGGATCTTATAGGGATGGATATAAATATCCAGGATTATAGAGTTGGATCTGAATATCAAGGATTACAGAGTTGGATCTAAATATCCAGAATTATAGAGTTGGATCTGAATATCAAGGATTACAGAGTTGAATATAAATATCCAGAATTATATAGTTGGATCTAAATATCCAGGATTACAGAGTTGGATCTAATTATTCAGAAATATAGAGTTGGATCTGAATATCCCGAATTACAGTGTCTGAATATCTAGGATTACAGGGTTGGATCTGGATAATTCAGGATTACAGAGTTGGATCTGAATATCCAGAATTACAGGGTCTGATTATCCAGGATTACAGGGTTGGATCTGAATATCAAGTATTTTAACCATTCATTTTATTAATTTTTGAAAAGGTTTTTATAAAGATAGTTACAAATTTTTACAACATTATTTTAATAGTATTACAGTATTCCAGTTTTTCCAACTTTGGATTCTTTGGTCCCTGGAACCTTCCCCCTGGGGGGGGGAGGGGAATCCCAGGACCCCGAAAACCCCAAGTGGGAAACAACACCCCAACATTTATTTTTGATATTTTTAAAACAATGGTGTTAAAAATTGTTCATACATTCTTCTTATCTATTCATTAGTTCAGAATTCTACTAATCTCTGCTTCCGTCTGATATTTCTGGTTTGTTGAAAGGAAGTTTAGCCATAGATAAAGATAGATTGCGCATAAGACGACATTTTTCATCTTGAAAGATATAAATGTACAGAGATGTTTCAAAGATATTCCTATTATATAGATTAACTAGGTCGGTTGTGAACATTGGCTGTTCTTATTTTATTGAGTACTTGTGGTGTACATGAGTTCTGTAGAGAGAAATTTAAGTTAGCTTAGTCCTTCTCATATTAACATGTTTCCCATGGGTTGTAGGTTTTACTTAAAAACTGGATAAACAGACCTGTTTCTAAGGAGAGAAAGTTGAGCTTTTCCATAGCAAGCCTAGGTCCAGAGAGGTAAAAAAAACTCTGTTCTCCAGGTAATACAGCGTTGACAGATGAATGCAGGCATTCCTTGTTGAAAATCTTGTTTTCCTCTTGAATTTTCCTTCATACCTTTAGTTTCTTATGTGTGTACGTTTAACTTGGATTTGCCATCTTTCTCTGTCTCCCTGTACTCCTAGTTACTGTTAGAAGCGCCTCTGCAAAGACCTAGGTCCTGATTTGAAAAAGCTAGAGTTAAACTGTGAATATCAAGTATAACAGGATTGGGTCTGAATATCCAGAATTACAGGGTTAGATATGAATATACACGATTACAGGGTCTGAATATCCAGGATTACATGAGTTAATCTTAATATCCAGGATTACAGGGTTGAATCTGAATATTCAGGATTACAGGGTTGGATCTAATTATCTAGGATTACAGGGGTTAATCTGAATATCCAGAATTATAGAATTACTCCATATGAATATCCAGGATTACAGGGTTAATTCTGAATATCCAGGATTACAGAATGATTGGATCTAAATATCCAGGATCACATGGTAAGTACTAGTTTACAGGGGCAGGCATCATCATCTCACAGAATTCATCAAAATCCATAGTTCCAGATCAATCTTCATCCAACTCCTCAATAATACCATCCAGCTCCTCCTTAACATAAATATCATTAGAAGAGACTGTTGCAGTAATTCAAGGGACCGTTCGTTTAAAGTGGGGTAACCCCAATTTATCCTTGAGGGATTTTTGAAGAATAGCTATGAAAAGGGAAGCTATATTTTGAAGAATACCTCTGATAAGGGAGCTATATCTTGAAGAATACCTCTAATAAGGGAGCTATATCTTGAAGAATACCTCTGATAAGGTGAAGAATACCTCTAATAAGGGAGCTATATTTTGAAGAATACCTCTGATAAGGGAGCTATATCTTGAAGAATACCTCTGATAAGGGAAGCTATATTTTGAAGAATACCTCTGATAAGGAAGCTATATCTTGAAGAATACCTCTGATAAGGGAGCTATATCTTGAAGAATACCTCTGATAAGGGAGCTATGTCTTGAAGAATACCTCTGATAAGGGAGCTATATCTTGAAGAATACCTCAGATAAGGGAAGCTATATTTTAAAGAATACCTCTGAAAAGGGAGCTATATCTTGAAGAATGCCTCTGATAAGGGATCTATATCTTGATAAATACCTGTGATAAAGGAGCTATATCTTGAAGAATACCTCTAATAGGGGAAGCTATATTTTGAAGAATACCTCTGATAAGGGAGCTTTATCTTGAGGAATACCTCTGATAAGGGAGCTATATCTTGAAGAATACCTCTGATAAGGGAAGCTATATTTTGAAGAATACCTGTGAAAGGGTAGCTATATCTTGACAAGTACCTCTGAAAGGGTAGCTATATCTTGACAAGTACCTCTGAAAGGGGGGCTAGAAGTTCTGATATAAGTCCTCTAAGAGTATCCATTGTTATAAATCCTTCTCCAGCCCTGTCATATATTCTAAAAAAAACAAATCTAATAAACTATATTAAATGAATTAAATCTACAGGGTTACACATGTTTTCCTGACTTATATAAAAGAAACACTTTTTTACGTTTCTTGACAGATTTTAAAAATGTATCTCTATATTTTTTTTATTTAGGCATCGTTCCCTATTCGTAAATATATCACCAAAAAAATGAAAATCATAAACGGCTCAGTTCACATACAGGGTGTCCCACGAAACATGACAGTTGATGAATTGTTTAAAATGTCTACTTCCATAACTTGCTAAGTTGTTTGATACCAAAGAGAATAATAAAAAAGATAAATTTTATGCCGGTCCTGAGTCATATCATAGTAAAATTGATTTTAAAGTAAAATATATTTGAGATAAATATTTTCTTAACGAAATAAACTGCAAGAAATACTTTATATCTGATACAGTATATGGAAGAAGACATTCAAAACTATTCACCAACTGTCATGTTTCATGAAACACCCTGTAGATCCCGACTGCCAGGAAAAGTTGCATCAATTTTCAAGACTGAGTCAACTTTGGAGATGTCGAAACGATTTGGCCTTTGATTTTACCTCACTAGCTCACTTGTTTTTTTTGTAGCCCTAAAGCTATAAAGTGCTTGTTTTTATCTTTAGTTAAGAAGAAGTAATTCGAAAAATTCTCATTTATTTTTGCTTGAGAGCTTGCAACCTTTGGATCCCTATGAGTTGTGTCCTTATCCCAAAATCTGGGATATTGTGAGCATGATGGTTATTTTGAATTTGGTGAACAATCTCTTCATGATTAATATTTTAAGATTAAAGGAGATAATGTCTCAACCTGAAAGCATCTTTAAGTTCTCTTTTCATAGTTTCTATATCAGGATCTTCCACCAGAAACTTGGCACACAACTAAATATTAGAGGATTAGTTTTATTGTCGTCTTCCATGGAAGAAGTATTTTAATTGAATGAAATTTAATAGGAACGGATTTCCCGTGTCTTTAAAACGAGACATTTAAATCAACGTTTTCAGACTTTCTAGATGAATACTGTTTCATCCTTTCAACTTTTTTTTAGTTTAATATTAAAAGCCAATGCAAAAATTCGACAATTAATTCTAAAATTAATATAATGCTTTAAACTCAAAAATATTGCCTATCTTTCTAATTATCCAAAAATATGCCTTTTTCGGTGTTCCATGTTTTTTTTTCTGTGTTAAATGTGTTTTTATAAAATAAACTCTAGACAGAGTACAGACACGTCTACTTATTAACAAAGACGATCTTGAAGTCATCGCCCAGATCCCATATTTATTGGGACACTCTGTACGTGAATTTATACAACCCACACAGAACCTGACAGAACTCCGCGAACTCGATCTCCCCGGACCCGTCCTCATCTATCTCCGCGAGGATATCCATCAACTCCTCCTTACTCGGCCTAGGCAGGAAGAATTAATCAAACCATTGATTGAGAGTACAGTAGGACCAATTAACAGCAATTATGCAGTTGACAGCTTGACCTAGACCTATTTAACACATAATCAGTTGGTTGTCATACATTTTGTGAAACTGTTTGCTTTATATCAACATCTAGGACTCATAATTTACTTAACTATTGTCTTTCTATTCCACAGTAGGATTTTTCATTTTTTTTCCCAGTACAAAGTTACCCACAAAGGATGATCAAGACTGTAGTAACGACCTGAAACCTTAAAGGGACTGTAAAGGAAAAATGAAAGGGGGTATAGGATGAAACCTGAGAATCTCAGGCGTTAAACGATACATATAAGACTATCTATCTGATGTTCCTGTCTCGAGAAATTGATATAAAACTGTGTCAAAATTATACAAAAACGTATATATATCAGATTTTGTATAAGAGTTGTAGTATTAAACAGGTCATATTCAACAAATACGCAACCAATCTGAAAACGGGTATATCCCATATGAACCTGAGAATCTTAGATTTGCTCCTATTATAATTTTTTTAATTTTTATTTTGCATTTATAATCGTATACCAAAATATTTGACAATAACCCTTGGTGTCAGTGGGCGTGAGAAAATGTGGGGTGTTTTTCAATTTACCCAACATTTAATAAAACTAAAACTTTTAAAAAAATAAATGAACCCATAGTCCAATTGTTGGAAAATCCGAACCGGTCCAAGGATTCACCGGTTTAGTAGAATTCATTGTTTACATTTTTTACCTAAGTCTCGGGTTCAGGATTTAGAACTTAGGTTAGGGGTCATTCGGAACATTTTATTTGAAACGTATTGAGAATCAAATACTCAAACAATATTTATTATACCCCATTGTTCAAATGAAGGGGAAATTGTTCTCTGCCCCCCCCCACCCATTTGAAGTTATTATTGTGTTAAAAAATTACCCTAGAAAAGAAAAATTGTCTATGTTTTTCTTTCTATGAATTGATTGATAATGTATTGGGTTTTCAGAATTTGAAATTTTTATAGACATTCAGTCTAAATTTACCCAATATTTTTGTCATGCTTTAATATTAAAACGATATGGCAGCTGCTATATTTGAAAATTAAAAAGAAAGGTTTTCATAATATGTGATTTATGTATATAATATTACTAGCTGGTGGGTCTGCCCAGGTTTATTTTATTATTCATAGTCGATCATAGTTACTCACATGCTTGGTATCTTAAGTTGTAATCTCTGTTTGTCTGTCTGTTTGTTTGTCCGATCATAACTCAGGAATCCCCTAACCGATTTGCCGATTGGGGAACTCGGGAGACCCACGGGAATGTTCTTAGCTTGGTTTTCAGATTCAAAGTTGAATGGGTTGACTTTTATCGGGCAAAATAGCTAAGTGCAACGCTGGGTTCCCAATCTAGTTAAATCAGAAAGTGGGATTTCAAACATTTCCAGCCGTTTGATAGGCAATATATATTAGCGAAGAGCTTTATTACTATAGATATAATATAGAATATCTAATTAATTTTTCTATTTTATTGGTGTACAAATTGTTATATGTTTTATAGAATATATGCAGCATCTTCATCATGTATGACTGTCAAGACTTTAGAATTCACAAAAAATGTTTTCTTATGAATGAGTAAAAAACAGGATTTTTTTATTGTTTCGGTTTTTAGGTATAAAAACATTAAAATGGAACCAAAAAAATAAAAAATAATTTTTGAATAAAAAAACCGCAAATATTTAAAAAATTAAATTTAAAAAAAATCATTTTGGGGAAAATGTTCATTTTCTTTTGTTTTCCAAAATTTTTTTAAAAATCAAAAAAATTCATTAACAATTGAAGGAGATATTACAATTTTGCAATTGTATCTGAGCGTATGAATACATAAAGTATCTCTGTTATGTACGATCATAACTCAGGAACCCATTTACTGATTTGCCTCAAATTTTGATAAAGGAACTCTTTAGAATGTTCTTAGTTTAGTTTAAAATGTTATGCGGAATCATGCTGCAGATACGACTTTGCAACTTCGTATCTAGTTTTCTGTTTACACAAAAGAGTTTTTACCTTAATATCATGAATATCAAAAAACTATAATTAAGCTATAAATTCTATATAATATTTAATGCATTAACGGGTTCAAGAAATCCTAATCACTCTGTATAATTTCTTACCTGAACCCCATAGCTCGAAGTATTTCATCAAGATCGTCAGCAGACAGAAAATCTTGCTTTTTCGAGTCAAAGAGATCGAAACAGGTTTTCAGACATTTAATCTCGTCGGCCTCGAGTCCAGTGGTGTCATTCAGTTCATCGAAATCTATTCCAGCGTAGGGATCAGGTTTAGACATTGTGATCTCTGAAATGTACCATAATTGACCAAACCTGACACTGGAATAACACACTCCGAGATAAGTTATGAGATAACTTCCATAAAACACTTTGTAGATAAGACTGTAAACACGCCATGGACTGTCCTGTGCGTGTAAACATTCCTCTCACAAACTGCGATACACTTTACTTTATGGTTTAGTTCCTGTTATATTACTTGGTTTTCGTTATCTAAAAAGTAGGGGTTTTTAGTTTCAAACCGTGGTTATGGCCCAGTGTCGTGGATCAAATATGGCATAGTTTGGTAAATGTGAACCCTTTACTATCCTTGCATAAACTAGGATAGATCCAGGTGGGATAATTTTCTATTTTAAATTGACCAGCATATCCTTGATAGTATAGATAGATAGATACTTTCAAACTATAAACTTGAAATTCGAAAACAATATAATATTCTTTCCATTTTCTTCGAAATTTGAAGGAATTTGATGCTAACTAAACCGGAATTTATCTAATCAAAAACCTATTTCTGTTTCATCATGTTACGGCAGGTGTTGGGGGGAATATTTATCCTAAAATAAAGTATTTATGTTGATGAACCTTAAAGGGTTGGACTACTATATATATATTTATTATACTAAAGAAGGTAGAGGTAGAAACATATATATGTCTAATATGTCAGTGAAAAATGTCGGGGAATTTACTTTTCTTTCTAAAATATTTAAATTTATAAACATCTCACCCTGGACATAATTAGACTTCTTAATTCTTTTTCCTCCTACAGGGTGTTTAATCATTTAAACTTTTACCTACTACAGGGTGTTCAATCATTAAAACTTTTTCTACTACAGGGTGTTCAATTATTTAAACTTTATCTGCTACAGAGTGTTCAATTATTTAAACTTTACAGAGGGATTGATAATAATAAACTTTTCTAACAATTGACATTTTTCATTTTTCTGGATGACCAACTTTTGACATTTTACCTACTATAGACTGGGTGTCTATTATTGACTATTGACATTTATTCTACTACAGGGTGTCCAACAATTGACATTTCTTCTACTACAGGGTGTCCAACAATTGACATTTATTCTACCACAGGGTGTCCAACAATTGACATTTATCTTACTTCATGGTGTCGAGTTTAGAAAAGAATTGAATTAAATGAAATTTCGTTTCCAGTCCCTTGAATATTTTAATTTCCTATATTCAGATGTTTCAAAATCTAATTAATGATTTACTTCCGGTTTTCCTCCTGTTTACTTCCTGTTTGCTTGCTGTAAGGATATTTTAGTGTTTGATTTAATATTTCCAGTTGTTTATCAGATGTGTGCATTGTAACTATGACGAATATATTTTTCAACATTTCTATAATAGTTTTCCTGACTAATGTTTTAGTATCAGCTTCTATTCAGGTATTGTTTTTTTTCATCATAAATGAGAGGGTGACTAAATATTTATAAAAAAAATCCATTTAAAAAAACAGAGTGGCATGTTCAATTCACAACGTCGTTACCTTTAAAAGCGTTGTCTGGTCAAAAATGCATCAAAAACCATTTATCGAGTGATATGTTTGATTCACAACGGTAACCTTAAAAGCCTTGCCTAATCAAGAATGCCTGAAATATCCAAAATTTTCTTCAAAAAAAATGTTTATTTTTAATGGTGATATGTCTATAAAGTATCTTCAGAAGCACGGGGAGAAAATTGTCAGCATATTTCGAGCTAGAAATACGACGATATTTTCAACATTATTGATCAGATAACGGGGTTCATAGGGTACAGTTATGAATATGGCGTGCGCGTCTCTGCATGGTTTGTAGCTTGAAATTACAACAACTTTCTCTTTAATTCGTTTATTTTTCTTATGAAAACAAAATGACAAGATTCTTGATGACTGTTTTTATTCTTCTTTCTTCTTAAATAATATTTTCTGTAGACAGAGGAGGCCTGTAGTGTCTCCCAGACATCAGACACCGAGGTATAAGAGTTTTTAAAAATGTTGCATACATTTTCTAACCAATTTTTATCAAATGTTGGTTAATTCATTCATAATTATTCTAAATATAATTATACCAAAAATATCTTTAAAACGTCTGAGATGTAAAGAACTTTGGTTTGACTTCAATTTCTCCAAAAATGAAATTATATTTACAAGATTTCCAAACTTGGAAACCTAAGAAACGTACTTGCTAGAATATCCTACCGTTTTTATTATTATAAAGATTCATTCACAAACAAATAGTATAACATAGTATAGTAAAGTAATTTATTCCAGTAAAATCAGAATTTTCCCTGCTTGCTCCAACCGGACATCAAAATATTTCAATTGTTTCTTAACTAACGTTTCACTCAGATGTCTACAAATGTTTACAATGTAAACTTTAAGAAAAAAAACAAAATTAAAATTAATTTAACTGTTTTTATTACTTAAATTACACAAATCAACATTGTTTTGAAATTTACGTACTCTTATCATAAACCTGAAAGTAAATGATGGTCTTGATAAACTTGGGAACTACGAGAATACAAAATCATTTTCTTTATTTTTGAAAAATAAAAAATTACAGTTTTTGCATTTTGCATTGTAAGGATCTGAACTTTCCAAAATGTAAACGGTGTGAGGAACTTTGACAAGCCCGGGCATTGGGCAAATCTGGGTTCTGGGAGATTTTGGTTATAATTAAAGGAAAATGGGACATGATTAATCCCGATTATTTTAAGATACAAAACAGACTGAGACAAACTACATTTAAAAATTGAGATATACATTTAGTGTTTGAGTTTAATATTTTGAGTATAAATATTGTTATTGGTAGCGTAAGAAGAGATGATAAGTTTCTATATTAAAAGTATATTGGCGGACTTGAAGAACAGTTTGTAGACCCTTATAATCCTAGTTCTTCTGCCCCCCCCCCCTTCCTTCTAATCATANTAAGAGTATACTGGTTGACTATTAAGAGTATACTGGTTGACTATTAAGAGTATACTGGTTGACTATTAAGAGTATACTGGTTGACTATTAAGAGTATACTGGTTGACTATTAAGAGTATACTGGTTGACTATTAAGAGTATACTGGTTGACTATTAAGAGTATACTGGTTGACTATTAAGAGTATACTGGTTGACTATTAAGAGTATACTGGTTGACTATTAAGAGTATACTGGTTGACTATTAAGAGTATACTGGTTGACTATTAAGAGTATACTGGTTGACTATTAAGAGTATACTGGTTGACTATTAAGAGTATACTGGTTGACTATTAAGAGTATACTGGTTGACTATTAAGAGTATACTGGTTGACTATTAAGAGTATACTGGTTGACTTGAAGAAGCTGGATATACAGTTGACTGCTCAAGAAAGAAGAATACAGAACCTAGAATACAAACTCAGGAAATTTCTTCATTTTACAGGACAGAGCGATCTTAAAAGATGTTTCCGCGTAATTTTAGTAACCCTCCAGATTTAGTAATTATGCATACACGATGGACAACACAATCTGAATCAATTTAGATTTTTACATGTCAAACCCAAAGTGCCCATTTCTAAATCAAGATTAAAGAGTTGTCTGGTGATATCTGGAAAAAAATCAATTTAATTAATTTCCTTCCTTGTCTCTGTTGCATAACTTTAACTTTAACAGACTTATCCATTTTTCATCTTCATTTTTCATCTTCATTTTTAATCTTCATTTTTCATCTTCATTTTTCATCTTCATTTTTCATCTTTATTTTTCATTTTAATTGTTCATCTTAATTTTTCATCTTCATTTTCATCTTTATTTTTCATCTTCCTTTTTCGTCTACATTTTCATCTTTATTTTTCATCTTTATTTTTCATCTTCATTTTTCATCTTCATTTTTTATCTTCATTTTTCATTTTTATTCTTCGTCTTCATTTTTCATCTTTATTTTACATCTTCATTTTACATCTTCATTTTTCATTTTATTTTTCATTTTCATTTTTCATTTTAATTTTTCATCTTAATTTTTCATCTTTATTTTTCATCTTTATTTTACATCTTCATTTTTCATCTTCATTTTCATCTTCATTTTTCATTTTATTTTTCATTTTAATTTTTCATCTTCATTTTTCATTTTATTTTTCATTTTAATTTTTCATCTTCATTTTTCATTTTATTTTTCATTTTATTTTTTCATCTTCATTTTTCATTTTAATTTTCATTTTAATTTTTCATCTTCATTTTTCATTTTATTTTTCATTTTCATTTTTCATCTTCATTTTTCATTTTATTTTTCATCTTCATTTTTCATCTTATTTTTCATCTTCATTTTTCATCTTCATTTTTCATCTTCATTTTTCATCTTCATTTTGTCACAGTTGTGAATCGGACTGTGCTACTTTTTCAGAATTCACTTGAATTCGTTGATTTTCAAAATAAAAAATAAAACAATTTTTTACATTTGTACTTTTTTACAGAAAAAGTATTTGAAACAATTAATTTTTTCTTTTTTAAAATTATATTATTTGCAAACTTTTATTTTCAAATCAATAATTTTTTGTAAAATGAGTTCAACTGTATTGATGCTTATATCTGTCTGATATAAATGAAAAAGAATTTAGAAAAGATGAAGAAGTTTTTTCATGTATTCATCAATGCTTGCATTCACAGGTTTATATTTTTCCTTATATACAAAAAACTTTATAAAAAATATTTTAAAAATGCCAGAAACTGTTGTTTATGTTCATAAAAACATTATTTCTCATGCAGGTTTATCTAGTTAAAAGTCAAATAAAAAATTTACATTTTTTTTCTACTTTGAAAATATTTTTGATACATAAGTTCACATAAAATATATCTTAAACTATCCCAAATAGATATTTTAAACCCAAATGGTAAAATGTTTTTGGTTTTGTTAAAAAAAACAGGATTTCAATCAACAATGTCCTCTAGTTTTGTTCAATTATCAAATCTACTAAATTAAAATCCTGAGCAAGTGAATATAGGGTATTTTTGAAAACAAGCAAAAAAAATATGTGTGAATTATTCTCATAACTTTATAACAAAAATAAGATTATTTATTTATACATTTAGGAGAGAGAAGATAAAAGAAGAAGGCAGACAGATAGGTTGGTTTATTAATTATTATTATTTTTGTTAAATAATTTATACTATCAATAATAAAATTTAAATAGATTTGTCACATCGATTTAAACAATTATGAAAATCATGCATCAACCATTGAATTCTATATACCACCTTTGTCCTTTACTGTGCCTTATTTTAAGTAAATAATGAAGATTTTAAGTCTGATCATAGCTAGAAGAGTTCAGTGAGAACCAGAAAAACGTACTGTGGACTATACACTTCCTCTGCTGCTTTAGTAATTGTAAATTTGCGTTACAGTCCAAAGTAGGACTGGAAAGGTTGGTCCAGCTCGGATATTCAAATGTACACCGGTTGAGCGTGTATAGAAAGTCGACTTTGGGACTCAAAATATGGCTTAATCAGTTCAATGAACATAAAACACAGAAATTGTTCAGTGTAAACAGACCTATTATATTTTATAAGCGATTTAAAAAATTACAAGTAAAACTATTTGCTTCGTAACAACATCAAATACACTTAATTGATACTTTTATGTCGTCTTTCTATTCCACAGTTTTACAAAAGAATTTCGAAAGTTTTTGAGAAAAATCATGTTTTTTCAACAATATGTCTGAACAACATCGAACTGAAAACTAATGCCGCAAACTCTGATTTTTTAACCTAATGTCGTCAATGTTTGAAATACCCTCAGGTTAAAAAGATATTTCTTCTCATCCTTCCTTTTTTCTCTTTTCTTCTCATCCTTCCTTTTTCTCTTTTCTTCTCATTATCCTTCCTTTTTCTGTTTCTTCTCATCCTTCCTTTTTCTGTTTCTTCTCATCCTTCCTTTTTCTGTTTCTTCTCATCCTTCCTTTTTCTGTTTCTTCTCATCTTTCCTTTTTTCTCTTTTCTTCTCATCCTTCCTTTTTCTCTTTTCTTCTCATTATCCTTCCTTTTTCTGTTTCTTCTCATCCTTCCTTTTCTGTTTCTTCTCATCCTTCCTTTTTCTGTTTCTTCTCATCTTTCCTTTTTCTCTTTTCTTCTCATCCTTCCTTTTTCTCTTTTCTTCTCATCCTTCATTTTTCGATTTCTTCTCATCTTTCCTTTTTTCTCTTTTCTTCTCATCCTTCATTTTTCGATTTCTTCTCATCTTTCCTTTTTTTCTCTTTTGTTCGTCTATGTATTCTAAACCTTTTGGGGTAGGGCTGCCCCTTAATTACTATATTCTGATTCAGGGCCCATTTGGAAAGTTCAAAGTTAAATATATTGTATTCCAGGGCCCGGATAGAAATGTTGGAAGGACATTTAAGCTGTATACATGGATGTATGCATCTCAATCCAAGTTTATCATGATATGTTTTTGTTTTGAGCTTATGCAATGTACAGGGGGACCCACAAAGAATAAGACTGTAAAGACGACAGGAAACTCTTAAAATATGACGATCCCAAGCTTTTACTAAGTATTATGCATTAGATAAAGTAATCTAATGGCTTACATGATGATTTGGAAAAGAAAGAAACAAGTTTACAGTTGAAGGTAATCGTGAATGTAAGGAAACAGACAGTATAAATTCCGTACAATCGTCTCTGAAGTCTCATCCTTTATGGGTAACCTTGTACCTGTATTCTGCATGTACTTTTTTATTGTATGACATACGTCATATATACACTACGATAAACATACATCTCTTAATAATCTTGAAAATATTACTGTTTGTTTTTATTGAAAATATATTTTTCCTTCAATTCTTCTTTCCTCCTCCCATCAACACATTCTTCACTTCTTATCCTTCCGTTTATTCTCCCATCAACTCTTTTCCCCCTCATCCCAGACTGTTCTACCATCATCCCGTTTTGTTATTCCTTTAATCATTCTCCCATAATTTTTTGCTTTTTCAATCCTCCCATCCCATCTCCCATCTGTCTCCTCATTACTTCTCTCCCCTCCTATGGCTTCTTCCCTCTTTTTATCATTCATTCATTTACCCACCCTCTACCATCCCATCATCTTGCCTTTCCCTTTTTTATCCCCTTATTTGCTCTTTACTTTTTCCCCTTCACATCCCGTCATCTTCCCATCCCCCTTCCCATCCCGTCATCTTCCCATCCCGTCATCTTCCCATCCCCTTTCCCATCCGGTCATCTTCCCATCCCCCATTCCGATCCTGTCATCTTCCCATCCCGTCAACTTCCCATTCCCCTTCCCATCCTGTCATCTTCCCATCCCCCTATTAATTCTCTGCCAGTGTAAAGTAAAGTATAATTGCTCCAACTTCAATACTCTTCCAATTAAAGTTAGGACAAGGGATCCAGGAGTGTCAAATTCATGTACGTACACAAGCATTGAAGCTCTTGGGTATAGAAAAAATATTATATGGGAGTCATATTAAAGTAAACTTGATTTCAAAGTAAAATCTTTTGGAGGAAAAGATTTTTTGAACGAAATGAACTGCAAAAAACCTTTAATATCTAATACGGTATATGAGGACGACATTCAGAACTATTTATCAACTGTCATGTTTCGTGGGACACCCTGTATTATCCAATTAGATACAAAAACTTCTATAACCATCGGAAATCGAACAGAATTTGCAAGTTGTCTAATAAACATCATGCGATGTGGAACTCACTCTTTTGAGTGAGGGAAAACACACCGCACCTTTTTTCGTCCGGCAACAAATTACGTCACAATTCACCATTATTTCGTCCGGACAAACCTTTTTTCCGTCCGGCATTGTTTTCATTTTTTTCATTATTTTATTCGAATTTTGAGCCCCATCATGTTGTATATAATGGTTTAAAATATTTTATCCTGTTTTTTTAAAGAAGGACATCTTATGAAGGTACAGGGTGTCCCAATAAACATGGGAATTCAGTGACGAATTCGATATCGTCTTTTTGAATAATTCTTTGATTTAGTAAAGTTGAGAAAGCTGTAATCTGTATGAGTTTACAATTTGCTTGTTTATGTTATATCTGCATAAGGTTTTACTTAGTAAAAAAAGAAAATTACTGTTTACAAACAAAGTAAACTTGTTTGTCTTCAATGTGATCATCTTGATTCTTGCAGAGACATTATAGACTCATCTTTACAGCCATTTACCGTTTTCATTAAATAAACTCTAGCAGACATAATAATTGTGGTTTAGAAATGAGGTATTATGTTAATGCTAATTCATATCAAAGACGATATCGAATTCGTTACTGAACTCCCATGGTATTGGGACACCCTGTACAATAGACATGAACAAATTCAAGGAAACTTTTATTTCATAGAACCTCAAGAAAATCAAAACCCCTTGCTCCTTTCCAAAATATGTTAATTATAAGTCTTAAATTCTAAAAGTCCAATCGATGATCACCTATAAAAGATGCAGTTAAGGAGTAAAATAAGAAAATAACAGGAAGGTGTTTGGTATTTTCCTTTTCGAGCTAGATTGGGCTTAACTATCGTTTTTCCTCTTCAAACAAAATCAAATCATATTGAAAAACATTACGTTGCATAAATTTTGAAAAGTGTTATAAAAATATACATCTAAAACACAGAAGCAACGCCTGGAAGAAAAAAGGTGTGGTCGAAAGAAAAAATGGTGAATTGTGACGTCATTTGTGGTTAGGAAGAGAAAATGGTGTGCTGATCCTTCCCCCCACTCCTCTTGTTGAAACACAACAAACTCATTTGTGAAATAGAAAATTAGATCAACGAGATTTTCAAGAATCCATGACCTACAGGGCTAACCACATTAAGGATGATAGTGATAATGTAAAGACGATCCGAAACTAATAAGTATCCTGCCTTGAACGTGGTCTTGAAATGATTCTGATGATTTGGCAAAAAAAAATGTTGCACGTAATCATGATTTTTTAAGAAAACATACAGTATAAGTTTCGAACATTCATCTCTGAAATCTCATCCTTTGTGGGTAACCCTGTTGATAGCTTTTACTACTTACAAAATGTTGTGAACAAATCAAGTTGATGTCATAAGAATTATATTGCTTTGTCTCGCCTGCTGTGCTGTGATTTTTTTCTTAAAATTTGTGTGTTTTTATTGCAACTTTTAAGCAGTCTTAACATAGATATTTACGAGTTTAAATTTTTTGATATTTGTCCTTCAAAGACACAGAAACATCCCTGGAACTTAAACATAATTTTTAATCAAATTCTAAAATCAAATATATCATATATTCATAAAATGTTAAAACAAACATGTAATTAAAAATACAAAACAACTTGGACGGATTTATTGAAAGATAAAAATCTAACATACAATTTGGCATTGCGTTTTTATACATATTTATAATCAGCACAAGGTTTATAACATATTTAACAACTTAAAATTGTCGATCATTCAAATTACAGTCCTAGGGATAAAATTTTTACTTTTTATTCAGTTGTTTAGTTTATAATGAATATCTAAATGCATAGTCGTGAAGCTGAATAATTAAAATTTAAAACTTATTGCATAGTAAAATTACTGCTTGTAAAATCTTGGTTTGCTTAAAAGTAAGTATCATTAAAGAAAATGATATATCAATATATTGGAATGTAAAATAAAAATACTCCTGGATCATCATGTCTTTATCTGACATTTGTGGATGTTAAGTGCAACATAACAATCCCACAATTACGTTGTTTATCACGTCTGAGTATCACACATATTGGATATAACCAAACCCTCTCTTATTGGCTTCAATTCCCTGGAAAATCCGCCAAGCATTTTAGAATAAAATCCACTAGAAGTTAGCGGATAAAATCCACGAGTAAATTTTTGTAAATGAGAATGTTTCACTAGCATTCACTGTCGTCTTCAACTAGACATTGTGTGTCCTTGCCAGTGTCTATCGTCACAGGGTTTAGTTCTCTGTGAACTCCAATATTTGATTGTGATACATGAGATGGTACTGGTTCTTGTCTACCGCTCTGCATATCATACATGGGATTAGAGAAATCTCGGTTAGAATCACTCAACCCTCCCAAACCGACTTGGGTTTCCTGAATATAGGGAAAATAAGAATATTGAAAGTTAAACGTTATTAAAATATAAAACTTAAAATATTTTTTTAATTTATTAAAAAAATGGCAATTAAAAAAAATTATTTGAATGGTAAATTTACCTAAACTATTAAAACATGCAGTTCAAAATGATATAAACACTAATCAAATGGTAAAAAAGGCAACATTTTCATTTCTATACACTGCTTTTGTTTTAAAAAAAATAGTAACAAAATGGGGCCGTGAAGAACGATTTAAATATAATTCTCATTTCAATAATATCAGATAAAAATATGAGTAGTGCAAACCAACTCATAATTCTAAAATTATAAAAACTGTGCGCCTTATTTTTTGTGAACCCTCGCTTTAAAGTGTACACTGTGCACTAACCTTTCCCGGATTAAGTGGAGGAGGACTGAAAGTTGGCCCATCAAACTCGACATTAGATCCATCACGGAATGAAACACTGTTACTCAAACCACCCAATATCTTGGTCCTAAAACAAACGAAATCATATAAAAAGGTTATTTTTAAATAAGAATTTTTATTCGATATATTTGATTTATTAAATACTTACTCTCCGCGCTTCCTCTGGTAGTAAACATAAAGCCCCAGGGCGCACAGAATAACGATAATAATGAGAATGACCGGAACAGCGACAGCAGCTGATGATGTTCCCGCGCGGGTGATTGTCTGATCCCGTCTGATGTCACAGTAATGGCCGACAAAGTTCTCAGTGCACACACAGCTGGTCTCGCCGGATACGGTCTCCTTGCAGTAGCCGCCATTCTGACAATGACAAACCAGGGGTTCAGCCTAAACAATAAAGTGTTATTAACATCATTTTAAGAATATTATTAATAATAAAATAAAGGATTAATAAAGATTAGATAATAAGAATCAAATTAAAAACAAAAAAACCACCTTAGGAGGTTCTATTGTTGCGTCACAAGTCTGTTTATTTCCATCAGTATATCTAAAATTGGTCGGGCACAAGCATCTATATCCTCCGTGAACCAACAAACAAAGATGTGAGCAACCAGATGTTGAACATGGGTTATCCAGTGTCAGATTATACTTGAGAGGATGGAAGACTTTAACCGCTGAGGATCCTTGAATATCTCCGGCCACTATTACAGGCTGGCCTCTACCAAACTTGTCCATTTTTACAATATTCAGTCCTCTTGAGTTCTCAGACACCCAGTACATCATGGATTCAAAAACATCGATAGACAAGGGACGAATGACGAATGGAGATCGTACAATGACATGACGCCTTTCTCCTGTTCTTGACATGGATTCAATAATATTGGCTTTAGCATCAGTCCAGTAAATAGTATGGTCCATTAGGTAATCAATGGTCAAACTTGTTGGACGCAGAATTCTCTCAGAGACAATTATTTTCCTGTTGCTTCCGTCCATCCAGGCAGATTCAATCTTAGGTTTATTTCCAGCATCTGCCCAGTACATGAAACCCAGCTCAGGGTCTACAGCAACACTGGTAGGATCTTCTATTCTAGAGTCAATGAGAACTTTAGCATATCTACCGTCTCTTTTAGAAACCATGATTTTACCACCTGAATACTCTGTCTCCGTCCAGTAGAGATTCTCTCCAACCCAGTCATAGGCAATCGAGGATGGTTTCCCGGATTTACTTGTTTGTTGAAGGTATTGAGGATATCCGATCTCAGCGCCAGGATGCATTTGTGGGATTAAAGATCTTTTTACGCTCTTATCCTGATCATCAACCCAGAATATCATGTTGTTGTAGGGGTCGAAATCAATGCTGGGAATTCTTTCTTGCTCTTTAATAATCTCTCTTGCCCTGTTGCTTGCTCCTAACTCCAGACTGATTATTTCATCTTTATTGACAAAAAATAGTTCTGCTTCTCCACGAATAGCTTTGCAGACACCAGAATTTTCATCAGTAGCTTCAAAATCAGGTTTGCATGAACAGGCAAACGTTCCTTTTTGATCAGGATAGTCCGCATTCGGAAAATTTGTGCAGATTTGTGAACAGTAATTGTAATCAGTTTCACATTCATTAACATCCAGGCATTTTTTAGGATTATTTCGATCAATGATGGATCCCTTGAGGCAATGACAAATATATCCACCACCTGGGATATTGGAACAGTTCTCCTGGCAACCACCATTGCCTTCAGAATGATCACCACATGAACCCGCATTGTGGCAACCTCTTTCATCACTACCATCACCACAATCATCATTTAGATCACACATCTTTGACGCCATAACACATTTGTGATTTGCACATTTGAACTCGTTAAATTGACAAGGAACATCAGGTTTGGCACCACAGAGAGACATGTCATTTTCATCACTAGCATCAGCACACTGTTTGATCCCATCGCAAAGGCCAGATTTGGGAATACATTTCCCATCTGCGCACTGGAATTTATCCACTTTGTCGCAGGTGAAATTTTGGCAAATTCCGGCCTCTTCGTCAGAACCATCCCCACAATCATCAATATCATCGCAGAGGTCGGATAATCTAACACACAGATGGTTCGCGCATTCAAATCTGTCCTCGGGACAATATTTGCCACCAGGGAATCTGGGAGGACATGTCAACTCATCAGACAGATCCTGACAGTCCTTGTCTCCGTCACAGAGAAGTTCCTTCTTGATACAATGTCCAGAGTTACATTTAAACCTATCTTCAGGACATTTGTGATCTTTGCAGCTGCTTTCATCACTACCATCACCACAATCATCATCATGATCACACTGCCATCTTGCAGGAATACATTTATCATTGCCACATTTGAATTCTGATTCTGAACATTCTCTGTATTTTCCAGAGCATAAATCTTCACTCTCATCTGAATTATCTCCACAGTCATTTTCAAAGTCACAAGTCCAGCGCTGAGGAACACATCTATTGTTTCTGCATTTGAAGTCTCCCTTGTCTTCGCATTTAGGACAGTTTTCAGCCAATTCATCAGTTCCGTCTCTACAGTCGTCCTTTCCATCACAGAACAACCATTCTGGAATACACCTGTAGTTGGAATGGGATGGACATCTTCTCCAGCCAGTTGTACAGTTCTGATTTCTACAAATATGAGCAGGTTCATCACTGTCATCGCCGCAATCATCATCAAAGTCACATCTCCACAAAGTTGGAATACATTTGCCATTGTTACACTTGAACTCTGTCTCCTCATCGCATTCTCTGTTGTGACAAACATCATCAGCTTCATCACTGCCATCAGCACAATCAGCATCACCATCACACTTCCAGGCTCCCAGCACACATTTTCCAGTTGATTTACATTTAAACTCATGTTCAGAACATTCATGGCTACAGTGCTCTTCATCACTCATATCCCCACAATCATTCCTCCCGTCACAGATAGCAGTAACCAGGGTGCAGTTATTATTCTTACACTGGAACTGACCCTCCTTACATTCTCTTGGAGGGCATGAGGCAGGCTCATCACTTCCATCCTGACAATCCTCTGATCCATCACACTTCCAGTAGAAGGGGATACATTTATCATCAGATCCTCCACACCTGTGCTGACCCTCTGTACAGTTAGGAATACAGGTCTTATTATCTCGAGTTAGGATAAAATCGTTAGGGCAGGCGCACATATACTTAGTTCCCTCCATATTGTTTGGAGAGATGAGACAGAGATGTGAACAACCACCATTCTGGTTTGCACACGGATTATCATATTTTATTTGTCTGCGTGGATGATAAGCATGAATATCATAAGGTCTGTGTGTGGTATTTCGGAGAACTGTGTAGTCGTTTCCAGTAAATTTATGAGCTTTAAGAATTGCCTTTTTATTCCAATCCGTCCAATAAATGTAATCATCCATGATTGTTATGGCAAAAACATGGGGAACAGAGTTTCCCTCCAGAACCATCTTTTTGTTATTTCCATCAAAATCTGAGAAAGCAATATAATCCAGATGAGCATCAGCCCACCAGATCTTCTCAGAAAAATAATCTATTGTCAGAGCATTAGGCCAGGCCAATTTGTCTCCTTGAGTTGTAGCAACTATTCTTGTCATGTTTGATCCATCCATTCCAATCCTCCCAATATAAGCTTGAAGATGCCAAGAAGTGAAGAAGATATATCCAATGCCGGGATGCACCACCAGGGCTCGGGGATCATCTACATTGGTTTTCAGAGTTTTCCTGTAAGTACCATCCAGCTCACTTACACTCAGATGCTTAGTGTGTCGGTCCAACCAATATAGTTTCCTTCCTACCCAATCCACTCCCATACCCTCCAAACCATTGCTCTCATGACGGATAATATTGGTTCGATCTTCAGATCCAACTTTAGATTTAAAAATGGTCTTGGCGGATACATCACAGAAATAAATTTCCTCCTGATCGTAATCATAGTCAAGTGCAACTACGTTTCTTAGATTCTGAATGACTAGGTTGTATTCTCTAGCATCTGTGGACATGTTCCTGAGATAGTATTTGTTTGTAAATAGTATCCAAGGTTCAATATTATCTGTTCTCTTGCAGGTTCTAGAATCGGGTTCTTTAGTGTAAAACTGAGCGTCACATTTACAAGTGAAATCTCCCTCTGTGTTTACACAAAGTTGGCTGCATGGTTTATCTGCAGGGGGGTTGATACATTCATTTATATCTATACACGCCTTACCATCCTCCATCAGTCTAATTTAACAAGAACATTTAAGCTTTAAAAAATAAGAATTTCGGAATTTTTTTAAACCAAGAAATATAAAAATCAAAAAGACATTCTTCCAGTAATTCCAATGGTCCTTTACTCAACTTAACTAATAATCCCTTTAAAAACCTTTTATAATTAAAAATAAGAAAGAATCTTTTAACTAGTTAGAATGTTCTAGTTTCCTGTATCCGGAATTGCATTTGCACTTGAAGGATTCTTTAGTATCAATACATAGATGTTCACATCCATTCGTTGCTACATTCTCACACTCATTCTGCCCACAGTGCAGGGGTTCGTCGCTCTCGTCCCCACAGTCGTCCTTTTTGTCGCAGACCATGTCGTAATCAATACATTTCTGGTTTCTGCACAGATATTGTCCGTCAGTACAAGTAGAGTTAGACTTGTCACATCCTACTTCATCAGAGTGATCTCCACAATCATCCTCTCCGTCACATCTAAAGAAATGGAAATTTAAAGGAATTGGTCTCATATTCATTCATTCAAAAAATGTTTGCTATTTTGATATTTGTCTTACATAGTGTATCTTAGCAATTGGAATTTACGTTTGATATTTTAACATTTAGTTCTCTTAGGTTTCAAAAAATTTAGAAATCATCAAATCATATTTTTTAACCATGTTGTCATTTTTTAGCATAATGTTTAAACAAGAGAAACCATTTTTGTAAAGAAATTAAGTTAATTAGGGGAATTTTCTACTCCCTCTTTCTTTGCAACCTGGTGGTAAAAACCTTTAATACTTCAAACTTTTACTATTCAATTAAACATAGTTCAAAGTTTGAATTGTAAAAGTTTTACAACATCAGGTTACAAAGATAAAAGGGTTTAAAATTTTGAATTAGTGGATAGTGTTTAGTTGGTTAAGTACCTGTAGTTGGTATTGATACATTTTGCATTCTCACAAGCAAACTCAGTAGAACTACAAGTAGCATAAAGTTTACCACACTCCTTCCCTTCATCAGTCCCATCTCCACAATCATTATCATGATCACATTTCCAGTTTTTATTGATGCATCGTCCATTCCCACACTTGAACTGATCCTCACCACATTGCTCTTCAGGTCTAGTACATCCAGTTAGGGTTGAGTTTTCATCAGCTCCATCTACACAATCTGGATCCCCGTCACAAACCCACTTCACCGGAATACACATTGCACGGTTCCATAATTTGTTCTGTGTACACTCAAACTCAGTCACAGCATCACATTGTCTATTGTTGCATTGGCGTTCAGCATTCTCATCAGAGTTGTCAAGACAGTCATTATCTCCATCACAGAGATAGATACGTGGGATACAGTTTCCATTATCACATGTGAATAGATCTCCAATACAAGTTTTCTTTTCAGACTCACAGTAGTCTTTAGGCTCATCGCTACCATCTGCACAATCTGGATCGCCGTCACAATACCAGGTTGCTGGAATACATCTGTGATCAGGACATCTCACACTGTTCGGAGGACATGATCTGGAACTACAATGTAGAGGATCTTCATCACTGTTATCTCCACAATCATTGTCTCCGTCACAAAGCCAAAATGGTTCAACACAGATGGTTGTTGATTTACATTGAAGGTGGTTAGGGGGACATGTTACATTTCTAGACTTACACATTTCAATTAATTCATCACTGGTGGTGTCATCTTTGCAGTCATTAATACCGTTGCAAACTTGGTTCTCTGGGATACATCTGGAGTTTTTACAAGTAAATTCTCCCTCTGCACAACCTGGATATTCACAATCAATCTCATCAGTCCCGTCTCCGCAGTCGTCTTCATGATCACACTGCCAGGTTTGGAAAATACAGCGACCATTTCCACATCTGTATTCAGAGGGTGCACATGTGTGATAACTACAGTAATCAAAGGCTTCATCAGTATTATCACCACAATCATCATCACCATCACAAGCCCAGAGTCTAGAAATACATTTACCATTTCCACAATGAAACTTGTTCCCATCACAGGATACTGTATCATTCACACACTGCTTCCCTTCATTCACTGCTTTACCGTATGAACAATGGCATTCTGGTTCTCCATTTACTGAAGGATGACAGCTGTCAGCACATCCACCATTGTCAATATTGCACTGCTCAATCTCACATTTCCCCTGTTTTTCCTCGCTGTATATCTGAATATCCCGGGGAGAATTGTCTAAACGTTTCACCACCTCCTCCATGTTGTATCCTGTATGCTTCTCAGCTCTGAATAGTCCCCTGAGCTGTAGATCCGTCCAGTAGATGAAATCCCTATCAACAGTGATGGCAAATGGATAGATAGTTGCTGAAACCAGGAGTTGCCGCCGGGTTCCATTTATATCACATCTCTCAATGACCTCACGAACAGCATCTGTGAAATAAATGAAGTCATGTTCATAATCAATGGTGAGCCCGCTGGGTTGAGTTAGGTTGCTCTCTACTATAGGAGTTTTGTGTGTTCCTGCCATTGTAGATCTGTAGATCTTTCCACTCTCTCCAAAATGTCCCCAGTCTGTGAAGAACATGTATCCCTTGCATGGATGGACTGCAATGGCTCTAGGCCGCTCTACTCTAACCATATCTATGATCTGAGATCCGTCCCGGTTCATGGAATAAATAGAGTTATTTCTACTGTCAGTCCAATATATCTTCTTGTGAACCCAATCGTATGCAATTCCTTCTGGATTTATCCCTCTCATTTTATCAGATAGTATAGTTGTAAAATTAACACTGGGGTTTTTAGCGTCCATCCACCCGATTAAGGGTTCAGGTCGGATCTGGGTGAAGAAAAGTTGGTTATCAGCATAATCAAACTCTATGCCGACAACATTGGACATGTTCACAATTGGATCAAAGGGTGGCTGTGCCGGAGAGTTGGACACATTCAGAGGAATAAACTCTGACCTAATCTCCGACCTTGTAGTGTAAACAATATAGTTCTTGGCATTCGTGCAGGTTTTACCATCTGTATCCAGGACTCCGGCAGCACAGGCACAGAGTCCAATACTAGTTTCTCCATCAGGAGGAGTAAAGCAGAGTTGGGAGCAACCACCATTTCCAAGTTTGGAGCAAGACGTTTCTGATCTTGGCTGGTTTTCAACATTGAAAATTGCAATATCTCTAAGATCTTGCAGTCCTGATTTAACCGTTTCAGGTGGTGCCACCTGACCCGGAAGTTTACTAGCTTTGAAAATATTCTGTAGGTTTCTATCTACCCAATAGATGTCTCCCTTGAGCAGAGCTAGACCACGAGGGTTGGGCAAATGATCCCGGATAACCTGTGGTTTGTTTCCTCCGTCAAAGGGTATCTTATAGATTGCATCATGTTTAGAATCCACCCAGTATATATCATGTGTCTGCATATCTATGGTTAAATCTCTAGGATTACTGATCCCTGACGTAACCAAGGTTTCTCTGTGAGTTCCATCCAACCAGGCTCTGGCTAGCATAGGGAATTGTCCGTAGTCCAACCAGTAGATGTACTTCTTCACAGGGTTCACGGCAATCTCCCTTGGGCTATCCGTAGTAGAGCTGTAGATAACCTTCCTATACTTTCCGTCCAACCAGCAAACCTACAAATGCATTTATTGGTATTTTTTCTTGAATATCTTGCAAAATCTTTCAAAAGGAATAAAGTTTTTACTATTTGTATAAGAAGAAATAAAGACTGTATTCTGTTAAGTTCAATGGTCCAGTTATATACAATGTTTTTAAAGTATGTGAAAGAGCAAAGAAACCCCAAGGAAACACATTAAACGAATTTAAGATCATACACCCGTCAGTAAACAATAGACCCCCCCCCCCCTCCCCTCAGAGCATGAAAAGATATTTGAGAGAAAGAAAGCAAAATCTTGACAATAGATTTGTATGGTTGCGATATAATTGGATACTCAATAGGATTCTATCAGATTTGATTTCTTCGGGAAAAATATCTTCAACAATGGCTCCAGGGAAGAAAGATAAAAAACCAATGAAATAAAATAAAAAGATAGCGCACTCGTACACTCCCCCCCCCCACACCCATCATTCTTTCAAAAGAAAGAAAATATTAACTTAAATTTTTTTTTAGTATTTATAATTTAATTTAAAGTAATTTTTCACGTGTTTTGGGTCTCTCTGTATACTTCTAAATTGTTATCCAAGTTTTCCCTAATCAGGGTTTGATGCCAAGATATCAAAGAGAAAAAGTTTCAGAAGATATTTAATTTCATATCTGTGGGGGAACAGATAACAGAAGTAAATTGAGCGAAGTTTTTAAAGGGAGTGACCGGCTATGTAAGGTAGTTGAATAGAGTATGTAGTGTTGTGGAAAACTTCTTTCGGATTCATTTGAGACATAATAAACTTTTTAAACATCTGTAAATCCTGAGTTTGAGCGCAAATTCAACGTTCAGAACTCCTACTTTGGGGGTGGATACGTTTTCAGAATTAGCTTTTTTTTAATTATTAAACAACGACAACGAAAAATAAAGTAAAAATTATACAGTAATCTAATTAAATGCTAAAAATCGATTATTTCGTTTTCATTATTATATTGAATTTCTTATTGTCTTTGAATTTATTCGCAGATTTCTTCAAATTCTTCAAATGTCGTCTTTTCAATAATAATTCTAGAAAATCTGCAGAAAATCTTTGTGAATAATGAGAAAATAGAAACTAATAATTGAACAAGATTACGTATTTTCGATGATAAGATTAATTTTTATTTTCTCAACATGTTCCTATACATGACGTCTGTAGTTTATTGTAGAACTTTTTTTAACATTTTATGTCGGATCGTTATTTGATAATTTAAAAAAACTAATAGATAAAACGTATCCACCCCCAAAGTAGGAGTTTTGAACGTCGAATTTTCGCTCAAGCTCAGGATTTAGCCGGTCACTCACTTTAATAAGAAAGATGAAAAGATACCTCTATAAAGGTTTAAAAAGGAAAGGTACACCTATAAAGGTTAAAAAAGAATGGTACCCTAATAAAGATTTAAAAATGAAAAATACGTCTATAAAGGTTTAAAAAGGAAAAGATACCTCTAGAAAGATTTTAAAAATGAAAGATACCTCTATATAGGTTTAAAAAGGAAAGATACCTCTATAAAGGTTTAAAAAGGAAAGATACCTCTATATAGGTTTTAAAAAGAAAGATACACCTCTATAAAGGTTTAAAAAGGAAAGATACCTCTATAAAGGTTTAAAAATGAAAGATACCTTTATATAGGTTTAAAAATGAAAGATACCTCTATAAAGGTTTAAAAGGAAAGATACCTCTATAAAGGTTTAAAAATGAAAGATATATAGGTTTAAAAAGGAATTAGATACCTCTATATAGGTTTAAAATGGAAAGATACCTCTATATCGGTTTAAAAAAGAAATATACCTTTATAAAGGTTTAAAAATGAAAGATACCTCTATAAAGGTTTAAAAAGGAAAGATACCTCTATCAAGGTTTAAAAATAAAAGATACCTCTATAAAGGTTTAAAAAAGAAAGAAACCTTGATAAAGGTTTAAAAAGGAAAGATACCTCAATAAAGGTTTAAAAAGGAAAGATACCTCAATAAAGGTTTAAGAAGGAAAGATACCTCTATTCAGGTTTAAAAAAGAAAGAAAACTTGATAAAGGTTTAAAAATGAAAGATACCTCTATAAAGGTTTAAAAATGAAAGATACCTCTGTAAAGGTTTAAAATGAAAGATACCCTTATATAGGTTTAAAGAAGAAAGATACACCTCTATAAAGGTTTAAAAAAGAAAGCTACCTCTATATAGGTTTCATGAGGAAACACGTTGGTAAAGTAGAGGTTCTTGTTTATCCAGTCTACTGCTACACCACGGATACCAGACTTACCAATCCCATCCTAAATGTTATTGAACTGTTTAAAATAAATAAAAAATATTGGGTTTTACTTTTCCAAGGGTTAGAAAGAAGAAAGGGATGTTCTGCAGGCCATATTGGTCATGCTTTCTTATAGTGTGTCTCCGTAAATATGACATTTGAGAGACGTCGTACAGAATTTCTTTGATCTCTGAAATAGTATTTAACGACCAAATCAAATCAGACTTTACTGTATGTCCTACTATCCTACCCCCATACTTTGACCGAATTAACAAAGTTAAGAATGAAGTGAGATCCATAGATTTAAGTTACTTTAAGTTCAGATAAAGATAAAGGAATTAAATCGTTTGCCACAAACTCTTTTTTTATAAATCTTATATCTTTGCAACCTAATGTTGTAAACCTTAGATATAAATTCTGTTAGATCCCATCATGTAAGTTTCACAAATCAAACTTAAAACGTCTTTGATCGTTCTTTGATAGCTTTCCTTACATAGCTATCAAAGAACAATCAAAGACGACCTTGAAATCGACTGTCAACTGTCATGCCTAATGATACACCCTGTTTATGTTGTGAATCAGTAATAAATACTTAATGAGAAGCTAAGGTACAGCTTTTAATATATTAATTTCCCGAATAAGAATAAAATCTCGCTGAAATTAAATAGTAAATTGGAGAAATTAATGCCCAGTTATGCAAATTGTCTAAAAGTGAACATTTGCTTAGTTAAAACTGTAATTTTATCGAAAAAATCTATATTTTTAGTTTGGTTTTGTACAAAAATACATAAATCATATGATGAGAAAATAAATAAGATTTTGTTATCAAGATAATATAATATAATTCCCTCTTAGCTGTATTAACTTAATAAGCTTCAAAGATAAAATCCAAATCTTAAAAACTAAATGATGACAAACATTACCATACACTATACTGTTACAATAAACATCTAACATTTTGCTGGAAATATCAAACTATGAACATTTCGTACGATATAATGAAAATAATGTTAGGAATGCCCCAAAATATTGTTTGAATGTCTTTGTCATTCTGTTTGTAATTGCTAATAAAAAGTTCAAAATTTGTAACAAAACTTTCAATGTTTCGAACAATGTTTATAAATTTGAACAAAATGTTCATAATTTTGAAGAAAACGTTCATAATTTCGACCAAAATGTTCATAATTTCGAACAAAATGTTCATAATGTAATGTAATGTGTGTGTAAAATATACTAACATGGACAACATGATGTCTATCTGTTCCATCAGGTTTAATCCTGTAAATTCCATTATGTTGATCCTCTTCATAATCCACCCAGTAGATCCAGTTCTCATCAAACTGGTAATCAATATGCAGGATATTGTGGCCTACAAAACATTATTAAATAAATAAATAAAAGTTATTAAAAAATAAATTGATAAAAGAATTATTCAGATAAATAACCAAATAAAAATTTTCTGAATATATCAGAAATAAAGCAGGTAATTAAAAAAAACACGTCAAATTGTTATTTGTCATTAGAACACAATTAAATTCGATTAAAAATCATAAAATCTGTAAGTTAAATTTTCTAAGTAATCCGCCAAAAAAAACTAATAAATAATTGTAAAGAAACTTAATCACGTGATCACGTACCTTTTCCTGATATAGGCATCATGGCCTCTCCTTGATCTTTAAGACTGAAACCTCTCGCTAGGTGAAGTTGAGAGACAATTGCAAAGGAGTCGTAGGGTTGGCAACCAGTTTCAGAACCTTAACAAGTTGTTGCTGGATAGACGAGTCAACTTTTTTATTAAGAAAAAGCACAGATTTTTTTTCTTTTCTTTTACATCAGGGATTTAGTTTGGTTCTTCAGAAAAAGAATTTGATTTAGTTTGTTAGAAAAAGGATTTGGGTTGGTTTAATAGAAAAAAGAATTTGATTTGTTTTATTAAAAAAAGGAGTTGGTTTGGTTTAATAAATAAGGGTTTGGTTTTGTTTATTAAATTAGGGTTTGGTTTGGTTTATTAAATAAGGGTTTGGTTTGGTTTAATTAAAACCGAAAATTTTATTTGGTTTATTAAAAAAGGATTTTGTTTGGTTTGTTAAAAAAGGATTTGGTTTGACTTAGTATAAAAAGAATTTGGTTTGGTTTGTTAAAAAACGTATTTGGTTTGGTTTGTTAAAAAACGTATTTGGTTTGGTTTGTTATAAACATATTTGGTTTGGTTTGTTAAAAAACGTATTTGGTTTGGTTTGTTAAAAAACGTATTTGGTTTGGTTTATTTAAAAAATTGGTTTACCTGGAGTTTTCTGGAATCCAACCGAACATCCACAAGTTCTAGTGTTGGAGCTTGCAGGGATACAAATATGATTGCAACCACCCTGGTTGGTTAGGCAGGGGTGTGTTCCAGGGCGTGGTCGCTTCCTTTAAAATAGATAAAAATAATTTTTAGCTTCATTATGCATAAATTAGAAGAAAAAGTTGCTTTTCAATGACAAAAAAAGATAAAAAAAATTCAACCATCTAGTTTTTTTTTAGGATTCATTTAATAAATAGAAAAAGGGGTTGCCAAATGACTTTTACTGTGATTTAGATAATCAAGTTTAGCTTTCCGTGCGTCTTAACTTTCGAACCCATTTACCCCCATTTTTTGTGGCTTTGATGGTCTATCAAAATAAAAGCTAAGCACGCAAACCGCTATTAAACGGCAGATCTAAATCAAAAAGAGTTAAAATTAATTTTAAAAATACGGGACATAATAAACTCTATTTAGTTTGGCGTGCAGAAGATATATATAACATTTGCCCAATTATACGGGAGCGGCAAAGTATGCACAGTGATCCAAAGGTTGCACGATCTCAGGCAAAAATAAATGAGTTTTTCCAATTACTTCTTAAAACTAATGCTTAAAACAAATATGTAAACTAAATATCAAGGGATTCCAAAAACTATGCTAAGGAAAAATCAAAGGCCAAGTCAACCCAGTCTTGAAAATTGGAGGAAAGTTTCATAACTGTTATTGTTAAACCGATGGGTTGATTGTTACCTGTATATGTTCAGAGTTCTTAGATCAGCTTCATTATCTAGCAGGATCTTAGGATTATCTCCATTAGGAAGATCTACCCGCACAACCTGATAGCAAAACTATGTTAAATATCATTATAATTTAGTAAAAAAAATCGGTTTCTCATCGTTAACTTTTTTTAGTTTTAAATTGTCGTTAAGGCCTTTGTAAATTGGAACAATCGCAATTTACAAAATCCTTTTGTGACAATGAAAGAGAGAACAGAAACAACATGTATTCCACAGATTTCGGGTCCTTACTGTATTAACATACAAATGATATGACTAAATTAACGGATAAAAAAAGGAATGGCCTCCATGTTATCAGGCTAAATAAACATTTATTAGATCTAGAAGTATTGACATCTGTGTCTTGCTAATACGATTATTACATAAACAGATAACAGATTATATAAATCTAATTTTTTTGGCAAACAAGTATTTAATATATATAAACAAGCCTTTGGCTTTATAAAGTGTTAACGAAGTAGTTAAAATGATGAAAATGTAAGAGAATGAATAAATAAATATAAAGCTGACCTGCTCAAAGTCTGGATCCAGGTAGTAAAGTCTTCTCTCCATGACCGCTAGAGCAGCTGGTTTGTTTATCATTGATGTTGAGGATATTATTGTTCTTCGGTTAGATCCATCACTGTTTATTGATTCAATCTAAACAAATTGTATTTAAAGAATAATCTTTATTTGTGGTTAAATTTTGGTTTTCCACAACCCTGTATATTGAAGGCTGTATCGTGTTTATATTATCAGGTATACTCTACTATTGTCAAGTGTTTTGTAGGCATTTTATTCTGTATCCTATATTCCTGTATTCATATCCTAAATTCTGTGTTCTGTATTCTGTATTCTATATTCAATATTCAGTAATCTTATTCTGTGTTCTGTGTACAGTATTCTATATCCATTTATTGTATTCTGTGTTCTGTATTTTGTATTCTGTATTCTATATTTTGTTTTTCGCTTCCTATATAATGTGTCCTGTGTTGTATACTCTATATTCTGTAATCTGTATTCTGTATTCTGTATCTCGTTTTCTGTATTTGTATTCTATATTCTGTCTAGCAATTAAAGATGAAAGACTGGGGTTGATTGATCTTGTTTATTTATTCACTTAGTTTCATCTCTTGCACTTGATAAACACAAATACAACTGAGGCCGAAATTAATACAATTAGAAGCTAGACTTAATTCAGTTTTCTGTACAGTAAATACTCCACTGTAGAATTTCAAGTGACCCTATATTTAAATACAGTGGCATGTCAGATTCCCAACTAAACCCTTAAAGGCTTTGATTGATAAAAGAGGGAGATGTCCAAGAATTTCTATTTTCAACTTGATTGAAATGGTGGTTGTCTTTCACAGTGACTTGCGGACTTATGCTAAAGAGAAAATGAAGGAAATCATCAGAGTTTAACAACTTGGAAGAGAAGGTTTAGGGTACAGTTGTGAATTAGACAATATTGAAACTAAGGGTCACCTAAAATGACGTCTATATTCCCTTTAAGCAAAAAATATAGACTATCTTACCGTACGTATAAACCCTCCTTGATCAAGCTTGGAAAATAATAAAAATAAATTACAAGAGTAAACAGTATACTGTAAATTCTGCACTGTACGTTCACAAAAAATTGCACAGTGTAGTCTAAAAGAATTTAAACCCGATATATTTGATACTTAAGACGAGTTGCAATGAGCTAATTATTATGTACTTAAAAATTCTGTTCTAGATTCATTCCATATAAACATATCGACAATAGTAAATTAATGGCTGAATGTATTCTCTGTGGCAAAAACTATATGTTCTGTCACGCTCAAAAATATAGATATTGTGAAATTGATACTGTCTTGATAAGAATTTGGAGGAAGAAAGGTTTTGTTTGAAAAGAAATAAATATGGTGAGATAAGATTTGAAAGAGAGGGATTAGTGTGAGAAAGAGAGAAGTTAGAAGTTCCTAAGTAGCTCAGAATCTCAACAATTGGAAGAAAAACCCGAATTACATTCAGAATCAATTAGAATAGAACGGAATTTATTTTACAGAGAGCCCTCAAAGTACAAAGGAGACAACTGTACTGTACTGTACTGTACTGTACTGTACTGTACTGTCTATTCTTACCTTAGGTTTAAAGCTTGTTGAGAAGTATAACATCTCTGTATCTGGGTCTAGTGTAAGGAACTCAGGATGGGTTAGATTATCCTTCAGCAATATCTCTGGGTTGCTTCCATCCATATTGGCTTTTCCAATCTTAGCCGGTACTCCAGCACCACCCTGATCCAACCAGTACAGTTTACCGTTCTGTGGATCAACGGAAATGGCAACAGGTTTCCCGACTCCGATGTCGGTTCCGTCGTTCGTTAAAATCACCATTCGCTTCTTCCGCTTTCCGTCGACACGAACCAGTTCGATACTCGAGGATTCCTGGTTCGCGATGTACAGATTTCTACCGACCCAGTCGAAGGAGATTGCATACGGGGATCCAACCATCCCTGTGTCGAACTCACCAAAGAAATTGATTTTATCTCCTCCTCCAATATTGGAGTAGTACAGGGTTCCGTTCTTGTCCTTTTCATTTTCCAGCTCAGTCCAGAATATAGTTTGCTGGCTGGAGTCATAGTCAACACTCTTCCCGATCTTGAGATCTACAATCGGGGTGATGTGACCGACACTCTCATCCTCGGGCATGACGGAGAGGTCGACAATCTGGGAGTTCTTGACAACCATGAGGTAAGGGTTCTCCTTCTCCACGCAGGTCTTGTCGTCGACCAATCTGAATCCGGGTCTACACTTACACACAAAACCTTTCGGGTCGGAGTGGGAGAGGAGACAGAGTTGATCACATTCATTTTTCTCACATGGGTTCACCATATCAGGCTGCAAGGATCTAAACATGGAGAATTAAACAAAGGAAATCAAAGTTTACAATTCTTCAATTTATTTTTAAATCATGGAACACATACTTAGATACAGCAGTTGAAATTTACGTTCTTCGTTGAGACATTAAAAGAAAGATTAAAGGCGAGCATTATTTCACTATTTTTTAGTTAATATTGAATTATGAAAAATAATGATATATTTACCTATGATGAACATGAACAGAGAGAGGTTGGGAAACTAATTGACTCACAATAGTCTCGTTGGCACCACGGAACTTTTTAGCCTGAACAACAAATTTTAATTTTTTCACTGACTCACAAATAAAACTTTGTTTAATAGGAGTTGCTTAAGTACCCCAAGTACGAATTAAATAAAAATGAATTTGAGCCGCGGTTCAAATCCGCCGAAAACCGGTTTAAATTGAGCATCGGCTTAAATCTTGAAAAATTTAATACAATTTTAAGTGGAGCCAACCATATTTAAGCCGCGTCTCAAATTTAAGTCAATGCTTAAATTCTCAAAATTCGGCCTCTGTATATTTTTAACATGAAATTTTGTTTGTTTTATTAAACAACAATAGTATTTTGTAAGAAATATTTACAGAATGTTAAGAAAATCTCACATATTCTAATATAGCCTGATATTCTGTTCGTTATTTGGAACAAAATATAATACTCATAATATCTTAATGCCTTTAGCAAGTTCGATAACGAACAAAATTGTGTTGTTGTAACAATGTATGTTAAGTTGCAATCCATAATGTATTAAAAGTTATTAGATTTCTAATCGAACTAATGGGTTTACTTAGGGCTGGGTTTAATAGCTTTTGATAGATTGGATATTATAGTATTAGGTATCTGATCAGAAGAATCACTATGCTGCAGAGGATCTCCCCCCCCCCCTCAATTTAAAGCCCCACTGGACAAATCCTGAGCACGTCCCTAAATGCAGCATGATTGAGCTAACCGGCTTTTTGTTGTGGATACTTTAAACTTAATCTTCCCTCAAACTGTATTTCTTAATTCCAACATCTTTGCTACCAAATGATGTGTTTCAAAAAGTCATAGTTTGAAATATCAAAGGAAAAGTAATTAAGTTATTTGTACAAAAAATTGTTATTCTTCATCATATTTTATCATATATGGAGTATAAACTACATATTTGAAAACCTTATTCCGACTGTTTATAAGCTGTGTAAAAGTTTAAACATACGACCCAGGCTTAAAGTTAAATAAGCAGGGCTGAAGTAAGAATATCCAAGTTTAGTCCTAAGCTCTGTATATTCTAGGATACCAGGAGTAAACTTTATACACTGTGTTAGCCTTCAGGTTTAGGAGCTTTAGGACGATAAGTAATTCAAATAATGTCATTTTTATTGTTCATTACAAAAAAAGGCTGCTTATGATTCATAAAGTTTCTCGTGGAATACATTAATATATATTCCTAAAAAATATTCACTTTCTCCCTTTTTTAACAAAAAAAAAACATTGTTAAGAATATGTTTAAGTGTTTATCATAATAGGTTTTTATGTGTTCATAATAGGTTTGTTAAGGTTATGTATATCTTTTCATTAAACTTCGAACTTTGAAACCTGGACAACGTCGGGTACTCCAGCTGGTTTTACTTGAAAAGTGTAAAATCTTAATTTGTTTAAAGAAGAAATTGCTATATAAAATGAAAGAAATTCAAGGAACAAAATTTACTTTGAGATAAAGCACTTTAAATTCCATTTTTTCTCTAATATGGTTTCATTGCCAAGAAATTGATTTATGCGTCACAGCTTCCTTCTCAAGAATAAAGAAAAACTAGAAAGCATATCTAGATGAGGAAAAGCATAACTAGATGAGAAAAAGCATATCTAGATGAGGAAAAGCATATCTAGATGAGGAAAAGCATATCTAGATGAGGAAAACCATATCTAGATGAGGAAAAGCATATCTAGATGAGAAAAAGCATATCTTGATGAGAAAAAGCATATCTAGATGAGAAAACGCATATCTAGATGAGAAAAAGCATATCTAGATGAGAAAAAGCATATCTAGATGAGATAAAAACATATCTAGATGAGGAAAAGCATATCTAGATGAGGAAAAGCATATCTAGATGAGAAAAAGCATATCTAGATGAGAAAAAGCATATCTTGATGAGAAAAAGCATATCTAGATGAGAAAAAAACGCATATCTAGATGAGAAAAAGCATATCTAGATGAGAAAAAGCATATCTAGATGAGGTAAAGCATATCTAGATGAGGAAAAGCATATCTAGATGAGCAAAAGAGTACAAACTAAACTAAACCCTATAAAGGAACAAAATACGTGATGTCAATTGACCTTCATTTATAGAACAGTATGTCCGATTCACAACGGTACCCTTTTACTCTTTATCTGAGTAACAATGAGTAAGATAGTCAATTTCATCACAATGTCTCGGTTGCTGAGAACCCACAATTATAAAAGATCCAATTTTTATCTAAAAAAATTAGAATATCTCATTCATTTTAAGGGTATCGTTGTGCATCAAACATGCCACTCTATAAATGAAGGGTAACTTAAATTTGTAAAATGTAATCTGTTTATAAATATGATCGGAAAACCTACCTTGAGAACTCTATTGAGCTGACGATCAGTCCAGTAAACTTGATCTTCAAACACTGACAAGGAGTGAGGATGGAGAAGGTAGTGACTGTTTGCTACAACCTGCTGTCTCCCTGTCCCATCGTAATTACAGAAATCAATAAAGTCAAGTTTAGAGTCAGCAAAGTAAACTCGTTTCGTCGGTATATCCAGAGCAAGACCGTTCGGCCAGAATATCTTGGTAGATATGATAACTTGTCGGTTGTTACCATCCATACCAACCCTCTCAATCCTTGGATTCTCTCCCCAGTCTGTCCAGAACAACCATCTTGCACCCTCACTAGGATCAAGAGTGAGTCCACGTGGTTGAGTAATGTTTTGGTTGATCAGGATCATTCTATGGGTTCCGTTCTCCTTCGCGACCTCAATAGTATTAAGTCTAGAGTCCAGCCAGTATATGTTCTTACCAACCCAATCATATGCCAGTCCTTCCACTAGATCTACTCCACTACTGATTAGAGGTTTAGGTTTCTCAGTTCCTCCATCCTTCTTGAAGCTCATGATCATCTTAACCTTCATGTCAGACCAGTAAATAATATCATCATGCATGTTGGAAGCTGTAGCAACTACATTCTCCACGTCAGCAGGGATCCTCTCTAGAGAATGCTCCTGGAGATCACTCACCAGTAAAGTTCTGCGGTTGGAGATAACGAGGAAAGCCTCAGAATGGTTTGTAGCTTTACATGAGGATTTATCAGGCTCTAGGATGTATCCTTCAGCACAGGAGCAAATATATCCAGGACGGTTAGCTCCTCCCTTCATGTTGGTACAGGTCTGACTACATACTCCAGGGGGGTCACATTCGTTCAGGTCCACACAAACCCGAGTATCATTCTTGTGGGGAGTTTCTCCACGTGGGCAGGTACACATAGGACCCGCAGGGGTCTGCAGACATCCATTTGAACATCCTGCTCGGGTTCCAGCACAGTCATTAGCGTCACAAAGAACACCTTCATCTCCTTCATTGGGACAATCAGGATTATCATCGCAAACCTTGTTGATATCAATACAAACATTGGTCACATGATCACCAGGACATTTCCATTGTCCTTCAGGGCAAGGGACTGTAACAGCTTTACAAGCATGCTCTTCACCTTCATCGCTTCCATCTCCACAATCATCTTCACCATCACATATATACGCTTTAAACACACACTTGTCATTGTTACATTTAAAGTATCCTTCTTGACAGTTCACATTTCCACATGTTGTAGGTTCGTCTGAACCATCGTCACAATCTGGAGTACCGTCACAGTACCAGGCTTTAGGAACACATACTCCAGTCTTACCACACCGGAACTGTCGGTCTGGATCACACTGATCCTCGGCAATTTCAGGGCAACCCTGCTCATCACTCCCATCATCACAGTCAGGGAGTCCGTCACACTTATAGGATTCATGGATACACTTGTTCAGGTTCCCACATTTAATATGCGACGAGGAGCATGTGATAGGAGGACAACTCGACTCGTCGGTATTGTCGAAACAATCGTTGTCTCCGTCGCAGACCCAGGACTGTGGGATACAGTGACCTGATTGTGCACATGTAAATTGAAAATATGCGCACGTTTTCTCATCACACGTGTTTCCTGATTATTCAATATAATTAGTATAATTAGAAGAATATATTTGCTTTTATCATAATTATTTTTATATAATCCCATGGGAGTAGGTAAGTAGGCACGCTATTTGTCTTGTAAATACTGCAGTGTGTCCCAAAAAAAAACGATATTTACAAACGCTCCAATCTAAATAACATGTTCATATCAATATTATGGCAGCATTTCCCCATTCTAAAAATATTGGTGACAATGATGAAATGAAAATAACCTTTAGATTGAATATTTCGACAGGTCAATAAAATTATCAATATTCCTGCTATGAATTATATAAAAGATCTACCCCATATTGATAAAAGACGACATTTGCTCAATTTCTATTTTATATTTGAACCCTCTGCAGGAAAGTCGGATGTACAAGTGTAATCTCTGTTGACATTAATTGAAGCATTGGCACCCCAGGGAAGCTAGAATATTATGTTTATATAAACCACAATATGGAAAATATTCTAAATCACCCTCTTCTAAGTGTTCTCTTTGTGTTACAACGGGAATATTTCCTCCCATATAAACTTTTCTATAAAATCCTTAAAAAGTATACAAAAAACCCTTCAGCTTCCTTTTTTCATAATATCTATTCCATAGCCCTCAATTCTGTTTATTCCATAATATCAGATATTTTTGCTATAATATTACACCGTAGTATCAAATATTTTTCCACCAAATCCATTTTTGAAAGTAAACTCAACTTAACCTTATTTCCTTGACTAAAGGTCCCTTTTTAAAAAAATAAACTCTTATCTAAAAAGCATTGTTTTAATAACCACTGAACCCAAAAAACTCTGCCTCTCCACATTTTTTATCACAATAACCCCTCCTTCCCCCTCCAACTTTAACTCTCAAAAGCTTCACACACCCCCCCCCGACTCTCCTTCCCCCTCCTGCTCTCCTAGGGACCCGAGCCTAATAGTATCAATCGTCTTCTCTACTTTAATCATAAGATTAAGCCTTTCGTTCATGAGCTCTAGTCATTATATTAATTCCCATGGGATTAGCTACCAAGGGGAAGGGGAGGAGGGGGGGGGGGATTCAAACAAAAATATTGAATTTTCCTTCGTCGCTGCCGTCGCCACAGTCGTTTTCCCCGTCACATTTCCAGGTCATAGGAATACAGCGGCCGTTAGTACAACGGAATTGACTGTCTTCACAGGTAACGTTCAGACATCCAGTCTCATCTACAGGAAAAACATTCAGAATAAAAAATACGTTTTATGACACAGAATGATATTATGCAAATTGTTTAACCGCTAGATTAACCATGAAATAAAGCATAATTATGCACGGCCGTGTTCATCTGTCTTCATGGTTTTAAACTCAACATGTAACAAATTGTTGGTAAAAAAGTGGAAATGCCTTTTTTATAAGAATTAAAATTTTACATCTTCTGTTTTTTTGAGACAATATTCGTCGGGGATCTATGTTGAAATTTACAAATCTTCGTTTATTAGTGACACCCTATTGATAAAACTTTATATAATGCGTAAAGATCTTCTGTTGAAAAAGGTTGGATTTAAATATACATGTCTACTATATATAATTTATGGTTGAGTTTCTAGTTAATGTTTCAAGATAAATTTAAATTTAGAACTCAAGAAGAAAGATGAAGGATATAAATATTAAACTGCACAGGAGTAGCATTTAACACAAGAATTCTTATTAACCTACACAATATTTCATGCGTATTTCTTAGCATATGGAAAAGCATTTAGCGAGCTCTATATAGAAATATTTCAATAATATAAATGAATTACTAAGGTTAAATACTGAATAGAAAAGATGCAGAAGAATAAATAATTTTTTTCATTATTTCAAGAATGAAAAGTACCTTTTTTAATGAACATAAGAATATTAATATATAAATGAAAAAGTGAAAGATTAGGAATGAGAAGAACAAATGTTGTAATAATAAATGAATATTAAAAAAATACTAGGAATGGCCTAATATGTTTTTATTTCTATTCATCCTCACTTTTTAATTCATTCTTTTTTATCCGAATCGCTAAATATCGGTTACATATCTAAAGAATGAATAGGTAAATGAACCAATGAATGAACAGATGAATGAATTAAAGTATAAGGATGAATGTATGAAAGATAATTAACCTGAGAAATCTCCACAATCATTATCTGCATCACAGCGGAAGGAATTTGGAATACAACGTCCGCTCTTGCATTGATACTCTTCCTCCCTGGAAAAATAATGTTTAAATTATTTTTCCAAAAATCAATATTTTATTTTTCACAAATTTTACCTGCATGTGGGTTTAGTACAGTTTTGAAGTTCGTCAGAATTATCAAGACAATCATCATCACCGTCACACACCCAGGTCTAAAATAGCGTCGTTTAATCAATCATGTCAATTATGTTTTAAAAAAATCTAAAACTACTAAAATGATTCGATTTTTCTAAAATATTAATGATCGATTCAAAAGAATGTCAATGAAATTTTAATAGTTGTGCCACTTTAATTTAGATAAATGTACCATTACAGAAAAATAGGATTTACATCAAAATCGTACCAATTTACACCGTGAAAATCTATCTCAGACCATGTTTTGGACCTAATTGCAATATTCCTTTGTAAATTCCGACAAAGCATTATTTAATTAACAATGAAGAGAGTTGATGCTAATTAAGTTAAACCCAAACCGAACCACATCTTAAACTAAGGTTTAAAGTTTAAAACCAGGGATCTAACCGAAACTACATGTTATTCAAAACCAATTCTAGTTATATTGAATCCCCCCCACCCTAAAAAAAAATTAGTAATTCACTAGACATCAAAAATGTGATTTGTTGCCCCCTTTTTTTGCATACTTATGAAAAATGGCCGACTAAAAAGACATCAAGGCATATTCCTCTTTGGAAGTTATAAAACCAATAGTCAAAGATAAGATAGAATGTAATAAATGAAAAAGCCTAATTTAGTTTATTTGTCTGTTTTTTAGTTAATTGGTTTGATTATTTGTGAGTATTTAGTCAAACGAAAAAACTGAATAATCGGGCCTTTTTTTGAAATGCCTCAAATATCCAAAAGGACATCTACCTTAGGTATACAACGTTGGTTGTCACAGGTAAAATCCCATGAGTTCGGGCACGCTTTGACCGGGGGCTCGGAGCTAGGGTCACTGGCACAGCTGATACCATCTCCTTGCAACCTTTCTCCATAGGGACAACCACAGCTGAACACATGTTTATTTCAATCTGATTGGATTTGTTTTCATTTTCCGATATCATTATAAAAAAATCAGCTGTCTTAAGTGTAAAACGTTTTGTTCAGCTTTTAAAGTTTTCCAACTTATATGTTTATTTATAAACTAACTAGAGTACCCGACATTGCCCAGGTTTAAGTATTACTCATAGTTACTCCCGCCGTGTACCCGCGCTTGGTATTAAATTATGATTTTAACTTCTTTAACTTCCCGGCGTTGCCACTGGAAGTTAAAAAAAATCAAAGAAAAAATCAATCAATTTGCTTAAGCCGTTTGAACAGCTATAGCGAACATATAAATATATATATATATGAGCGAAGAGCTTTATTACGTATAGAAAAATATTTGACTTAGAGAAACTAAGTTATAAAATGGCATGATATTAAACACCAGCTGGAAGGATTGAAATGATTGTATTTATAAAACTGTCATAAATCCTGCAAAATATTAAATAAGCATCTGACATTGACATTGAAATAATCTCTGCAGCTTGCAGACCAACAATTGTTTTATTTTTAACATATGGCACAGTTACAGCGTGCTTCACTCCGACATTAAACATTTTATCTCTTTTACTTTACTGTAAGTGATCTATCGTAATTAAATTAGTAAAAGTATGATTAATAAAAGTAAATGTTAACTTTATTTTTTATAAATTCGAAAAAAACTTTTGAAAAATTCATTTGAGAAAGTTTAACAGAAAATGCATCAAACTGCATTAAAGAAAAGAGCTTATAAAGAAAAGTTAATTTAGAAAAATTCAAAATGGCCGACCTGGCTTTAATGCCCTTCTCCGTTGAGTTATCTGGTACAGGGAAGCAGAGTTTCTTGCAACCTCCGTTGCTGTTGTGGCAGGGATGGTTGGAGGTGATCAACTGATTCTCCTCGGAGAATATCTTGATTCCTTAATTGATCATAATTGATCATAATTGATCATATTTGATTATATCTGATTTTATTTGAACATATCTGATTTTATTTGATCATATCTGATTTAGATTGATCATATTTGATTTAGATAGATAACATTTGATTAAGATTGATCATATTTGATTTAGATAAATCACATTTGATTTAAATTGATCATTTAATCTTTTTAGATTGATCATACTTGATTTAGATAGATAACATTTGATTTAGATATATCACATTTGATTTATTAATAAGTCGATCAGAATTGATGTTTTTATCAGAATTGATATGGTTGTAATAACATGTACTATGTATCTTGATTAATAAACATAAAAATGTAATCCCTTCCCTTGCTCTCTGGATCCCAAAGGCCGTTAGACCTTTCATCCTGATTTACCGGAAAATTCAGGTTCAGGTAAGACGTCGAAACTACATAAATATAGGGCCAAGACATAAATGTATGAATAGAACATCATGATTAGTGATAAAAAAAAATACTTTTTACAATAAAAAAACACTCAAATCAAAACAAAGTTTTGTTGCATAAAACTTTTTTAAAGATTCCGTCCCTGACTCTGAGGTCTGAGATTGATCAGTACAAGATAATCCAATCTTCACCTTACATTATCATTAAACCCAGGGGGGATACTGCTGGCTAAGGGGCGGGGGGAATAGGGTTAATCAAGGGGAATACTGCTGGCTAGGGGGAGGGGGGAGGGGGAAATAGGGTTAATCAGATGATTAAGGAAGTACAGGGTTAATAAGCTTGTGAATGAGGATAGGGTTAATCAGTTTATAAAGGGATAGAGGGTTTACGTATATATTTGACATCTGTTCATTAGAAGATATATAATATATCCTTAAATCAAATCAGATGCAGTTCTATAAAACAATTAAAAAGAAGTTCAAATTCTTTAGATTTTAAAAGGACAAATTTGACGTGTGCAAAAAAACCTTTTGGTTAAAAACCCCATAAATTACCGTAGAGTCGATTACTCTCCTCGACTTTCTCGACAATTGTCGCGTTTTCTCCAGTCTCCTTGTGCATACGGATAATAGCGTCCAGTCTCCAGTCCGTCACGTAAAGGTCATCCTAGAAATAATGGAATCAGAAAACAGATAATTTAAGCTTTATACATATCGTGCAAATTTGCGTAAACTGGTTTCTCCTGGTATATTGCTGTTGGTGTTTCTATTGGTTAAACTTACACAACTTGTTGTCAAGTTGTAAACAAACAAAACTAGTTGTTACGTTGTAAACAAACAAAACTAGTTGTTACGTTGTAAACAAACAAAACTAGTTGTTACGTTGTAAACAATCAAAACTAGTTGTTAAGTTCTAAACAAACAAAGCTAGTTGTTAGTTGTAAACAAACAAAACTAGTTTAAGTTGTGAACAAACAAAACTAGTTGTTAAGTTGTAAACAAACAAAACTAGTTGTTAAGTTGCAAACAAACAAAACTAGTTGTTAAGTTGCAAACAAACAAAACTAGTTTAAGTTGTGAACCAACAAAACTAGTTGTTAAGTTGTAAACAAACAAAACTAGTTGTTAAGTTGTGAACAAACAAAACTAGTTGTTAAGTTGTAAACAACCAAAAATAGTTAAGTTGTGAGCAAACAAAACTAGTTGTTAAGTTGTGAACAAACAAAACTAGTTGTTATGTTGTAAACAAACAAAACTAGTTGTTAAGTTGTAAACAAACACATGATTAGTTGAAAGGATGAATATTGAATGGTTGAAGGAAACCTTGGAATATGATTAAACAATAGAAAATACTTCATAACGAATCCTTTCATAAATAAAGAGTAAGTTCACGATATTTACAAGAGCCAGTGCTAGTTTACAAATATTATAGTACATTAATAATTCTAATAAAGCACAATGCCAAAATTGTGTTACGTATTTGCTGTTTGGAATACAAAAAAATTGCGGTGTGCCTTCCCTCCCTCGTTATACAGTATAGGCGAGTATATAGAGTTTATAGTAAATATTATTTAGTAGAGTATATATTATAGAAATGAAGATGAATGCTTTCAGTAAATCAGGGCTATATGTTTTTTACAAAAAAATTCGAGAACAATATGATCAATATTTTTATATATTTAAGGAGATGAATAAAAATCATCAAAAATAAAAACAGCAATGATTTAAAAAATAAGTCTCAATGTTTGAATAAAAAAGTTTAGTACTATGTCCTCAATAATTCTAAAAATATAATTTTTAAAAAATATGTATACCATATACATCCCTGTTGTATATTTGTATATAAATGTATATATGATGATGTTTAAGACAAACAAGATTTACGACACAAGGGAATAAAACCTGAAAACTGCAAAAATAAAATATTCTTGAAAAATAAAAATTCATCTTTAAGAACACTTCTGATAGGATAATACATTAATTACAGACGACTAGAAAGGTAAGATAATACATTAATTACAGACGACTCGAAAGGTAGGATAATACATTAAATACAGACGACTAGAAAGATAGGATAATACCTTATTTACAGACGACTAGAAAGATAGAATAATACATTAATAACAGACGACTCGAAAGGTAGGATAATACATTAATTACAGACGACTCGAAAGGTAGGATAATACATTAAATACAGACGACTAGAAAGATAGGATAATACCTTATTTACAGACTACTAGAAAGATAGGATAATACATTAATTACAGACGACTAGAAAGATAGGATAGTACATTAATTACAGACGACTAGAAAGATAGGATAATACATTAATTACAGACAACTCGAAAGGTAGGATAATACATTATTTACAGACGACTAGAAAGATAGGATAATACATTATTTACAGACGACTAGAAAGATAGGAAAATATCTGAAAGCCGACTAAAGATACTAGAGGGAAAGCAAAATATCCTAAAGACGACCAAAGAGAAAGGATAATACATTACAGACGACTAGAAAGATAATACCTTAAAGACGACTAAAGAGAAAGGATGCCGAATAAGTGTAGAAGATATCGTCTTCACATCAGTTCCATCTAAGTTTGCATGCTGAAAATAAAAACAAAATCATTAATTAAATAGTAATTTTATATCTCAAATTCCTTTGCCCTCCATTAACAACCCAACTCTAAAACTAAAAAATAAAACCAAGAAACAAACAATTTAACAACTAAAACAACCTTAATGAGTTGAGAGACATAAATTCAAACAACCGTTTCAAAGTTTGCATTTACCGCATTCAAACTTTAATTGATAATAAGCTTCAAAAGGAATTGACTGCATTCTCCAAAATTCCACACCAACAAATAGGTTGGTATCAAACAACCCTTTAGGCGAAGAAAAGAGGTTACCCGAATTAAGCTGTTCCTGCCAAATCCATCCACCGCTCCAGCAGTAAGTTTATCTTTTCAGTCCTTTTCAGCAGCACTTCCTTTGAGACATTATCTCCCCCTAATATACCAGTAAGGATTGCCGTGCTGCTCCGTGGCCTCCCTGACATAAGGGCTCCTAGCCCTGTTTTAGACCTCTCATAGGCTACTGCTTGACAGGATACAACAACGTGATGCTCCGAAAGGTGGTTAACTATCCCTTTACTTAGGCATAGCGGACACCATTTAGTTGCGGAGCCATGGATGTTTGGGCGTCGGTTTCCAAGCCCTGCATCCCCGGCTCTCAATCGGTTCAATACACCCCCTACCTTGCTATCACATACATGTGGCTGGAGTTTGAACCAGACTTGTGCGGTTGGCATACAGTTGAGGGACACACACTGTCTTTTCTGCTCCAGGACCCCTTTAATTGACGTTTCGGTAAGTCTCTTCTTCAACCTAGATTTAGGACCTTCAAACGCATCCAGTCCCAACTCAGCGACCAGCTCCCCAACCATTCTCGCCCACGGGTCGTCACGTGCTCCGATCACCGCGTCGAATGTATCGGACAGAATAGGATCTCGTTTTTTATGCATGATTACCCACACAGCAAAGCAATTCGCTCCCTTATCCTGTCTCGCATCGGTTTAAACCCCGCATCCATGTACCCAGCTACTTTGGATGATGAACTTGGTAGTTGTAGGATGAACCGCGCAACCTGGTGCTGGATGCTGTCTAGCTTTCTAGAGACACTGTTAGATATCACCATGGATTCCACCGCATACAGTATAGCTGGTATAGCACACCTCTCCCATAGGGTATGGGCTACAAGAGACCGATCTAGTCCAGATCGTGTAACTCCCATGATGGTATTAGCGTAATTTTGCGCGACACATACCATACGCTCCTCTCTTGGCTTAACCAAGTTCCTGCCTTTGACCTGTAATTCCACTCCTAGATATTTACCAACCAGGTTTGATTCCAGGTCTTGCGTACCCGGTTCTATTTTCCAAGTCTGCCCCTGTGCTCCATTTGAGAGTATTATTGTTTTCTCTACAGAGAGTTTCATATATACCCCGTGGCAGAACCGTGAGACCTCCCTTAGCATACGTTCCAACCCTCTCACTTTCGTCCGTGAGATAAGAACGAGGTCATCTGCAAAGAACAATGCAGAGATCACTTGGCCGTTGAAGTTAATTCCTTCCTTCATGGCATGGAGTTTCCCTCCAAGCCCAGCCATGTACAATGAAAACAGAAGAGGTGAAAGCCCACACCCCTGTTTTACGCCTTTCGTGAACCATAAAGGCGCCGTCAGACCTCCTTTTATTCTGACTCTAACACTATCATTGTAATACATGGACTGTATTAGAGACTTGACCTTTCCTCCAAAGCCAATGGTGTCCAACTTTGCATATAATAGTTCACGGTTCACTGAGTCGTAGGCTTTAGCAATGTCGCAGAATGCTATAGACACTGAATGACCTTTCCTTTTTGCCTTTCTGACAGCTGCCAACAACATAAACACACAGTCTGTCGTTGAGCGCCCTGACCTAAACCCATACTGTACTGTGCCATAGTAACCATTCTTCTCACATATTTTGTCCATTCTTCCGTGTTGAGTGGATCAACTTTTAACGGGAAAAATATCTAAAATCGTAATTTACGACAAGGGGCGGGTAAACGGTGGGATTAACTAATAAAAATATAAAAATGTTGAATATTATTATATTAACCTGAATATGATCTAGAAGAGCATCACACCAATATAATCTATCACGAGCATAATCCATTGATAAACCATTCGGCCAACCCAGCAGTACATTTCGGAATACCTAAATTATTTCAATCATAATAACGAGAATAATTATGATATTTTTTATTATTATCATCATTTTTTTATGACACTAATAAAAAGATTATTTTAAATAAAAATCATCTGTTTTAATTATATTATTTAAGCATATACAATGTTAATCATACCCAGTCTTCACTCTTCGTTAATGAAGAAAATACATAGAGAATTGATGAAGTTAGTGATTATCAATATTCGTGTCAAATAGTGCATTAGTATATACTCAGAGAAGGAGCTAGAACTAATTTATTAATAAGATCTAGGTATTTTTCATCAATATATTGGTAAAATATTTTCTATAAATCACTAACAATGTGTACTTGCAAAAGGGGATTCTGTGTATTTTTATCAGATTTCAATATTCTCTTAGAGTAGGAGACGCAATTACGTAGAAGCAAAATACTGTTACAGTGGGACCCATAAAATACTGTTACAGTGGGACCCATAAAAAAAATACTGTTACAGTGGGACCCATAAAATACTGTTACAGTGGGACCCATAAAAACTTGCAACACGATTCAATTTATGATTCAATGAACACAGAAATGTCCTTACTTCAAATTACGCATCCCAAAATAAATTTACCAAGCCGGAACTGAAATAAGGTTTTGCATTTTGCAGCTTTTGGCCATATTTTAGTTTAAGTTGTTAATGAACGGATATCCACGGTTCCATAAAAAAATCCTCAGAATAAGTTATTTTTAAGCAAATGGAAAAACTTTCAGATACACATAAGATTACTTTAATTTATAGAATTTATAGTTTAAAATATGTAAGGTCTGCGACATCAGCTTGCAAAGATATAGAGATGAGAAAATCTGAGTTTGTTATAAATACTCAATTCTTTAAGAGTAATTTGATCTTTACGATGGTTGGTTGGCTGTACTTTTAGTTTCGATCAATTAGACAACATGGAGACAGAAGGAGATGGATGAAGAAGGATTGAGAGATAAATTGACATAAAAAGGTGAAAGGGGAGTGGGGGGGGGGGAGACGGACGGGAGAATGGTAATTTTGAAACAAAAGACGATAAATTATAATTATACAAGGTGGCTTTAAAATTGCAAATTGCAACGAGAGCAATCTGAAACTAGATAGGAGAAAAACAAATAGAATGGATGTTCAAAAGAATGTACAGTGATAACCAGAAAATTGTAGAATAGGTAGACGACATTAAAGCAATACTCAAGTGCAACTGATTTTGTTACAAAGAAAACAGCTTCACTAGTAAGTTATTAAATCAATTATAAAGTGAAAGTGGTCTGTTTTCACTGCACGGTGCACGTGTATTAAATGCTGTACTCGTAAAACTGCTTCCAGACGTGTATTAATCCAGGTACCGCTCGTCAGCTATCAATGTCAACAGGGACACAAGCTCTTAACTATCAATGTAAAACCAATGGAAATCGTCAGCTATCATTGTCAACAAGGACACAAGCTCAGCTATCAATGTCAACAGGGACACAAGCTAAAGTTACTGACGTAGTTATAAGTTAAAATCACAATAAAGGTTTTGACGTATTTACTGACGTAGCTAGGCTAGGCTAATCGCATTACAAGTTTTGCGTAGTTAATGATAAGCGCATTTAGATTTACAAACAATGTACAACGTAATATATCTAGGTATCTAGTCAGGTTAACAAATATGGGGATTGGTGTATTAATTACACACAGTTGCCGTGCCTCATGTTCGTTAGACTATTTAGAGTCATAACTTGAGTCTAAAACTAGACTTCCTATTCCAGATTTTTCTAGCTCTCACTGTAGAATATTTTATTATGCATGGAAGAGTAAAGCTAGGATGGGTTGGATGGAAAGAATGGTTCGGAGTCGTGAATGTAAGACGGACGGATTAAAGGCTAAGAGGAGAACCCTGAGAAACGGATCCTGGGTTCAAGAGATAAACATCTCAGCTCACATTATACAAGCTAACAGGGACAACAAGAACTTAGGGACAAGACAAAATAACACGGAAGAAGGATAACAGGGACAAGAACATGATAACAGGGACAAGAACAAAATAACAGGGACAAGAATAATATAACAGAGATAAGAACAATTGATAACAGTGACAATAACAAGATAACAGGGACAAGAAAAAGATAACAGAGACAAGAACAAGATAACAGGGACAAGAACAAAATAACAGGGACAAGAATAAGATAACAGAGACAAGAACAAGATAACAGTGACAATAACAAGATAACAGGGACAAGAACAAGATAACAGGGACAAGAACAAGATAACAGGGACAAGAACAGGATAACATGGACAAGTACAGGATAACAGGGACTATAACAAGATAACAGGGACAATAACAAGATAACAGGGACAAGAACAGGATAACAGGGACAAGAACAAGATAACAGGGACAATAACAAGATAACAGGGACAAGAACAAGATAACAGGGACAAGAACAGGATGACAGGGACAAAAACAAGATAACGGGGACAAGAACATGACAATAGGGTTAAGAAAAGAAAAACAGGAACAAGATAACAAGGACAAGAACAAAATAACAGTGACAAGAACAGGATAACAGGGACTACAACAAGATAACAAGGACAAGAACAAGATAACAGGGACAAGAACAGGATAACTGGGACAAAGACAAGGTAACGGGGACAAGGATAACAGGGACAAAAACAAGATAAGTGGGACAAGAACAAAATAACAGGGACTAGAACAAGGTAACAGGAACAGGAACAAGATAACAGGGACAGGAACAGGATAACAGGGACAATAACAAGATAACGGGGTCAAGAACATGATAACAAGAATAAGAACAGGATAACAGGAACAAGAACAGAATAACAGGATAACAGGAACAAGAACAGGAAAACAGGACTAGGAACAGTATAACAGGAACAAGAACATGATAACAGGAACAAGAACAGGATATCGGGAACAAGAACAGGATAACAGAACAATAACAGGATAACAAGTACAAACAGGGTCGCATGAAATTAAACTAACAGTTCTTTAAATGCACTATATACAACAAACAGAGTTTTATAACAAAAATAAGAAAAGAAAAGTGGAGAACAGGTTGAACCAATGCGGGGAAAATATCATGGTTTATGAACTTATTTTTCGTTTTTCAGCAACTACAATTGTTAGAGAAAAAAACATATTTCTCTTCTACAAACAAAATTAATATCATTTTAGTTTAGGGGGGTATGGTCGGAGGATCTAAAATTACATTTTCCAGGTTTTATCTAAGGTTGATTAACCATCAACCGTGTTATTTCTCCCTTTAACGCTTGTAAAAACAAGTTTTTATAGAGAAGTTTTTCACATAGCAAAGTTTAATTCAGATTTTTAAAGGGACCGTAAGCGAGATTTAAACTTCATGGAAAGATGGCATTGACCAATTTATAACAGTACCCTTGAAACCTTTATTTCATCTAAAAAATGTATTGGATTCACTTTTGCAGAGAAACCACAATTGAAATTTAACAGTTTAAGAAAAAACAAAAAAAAACATGAATTTCTATTTTATTCTTAATCAGAGAAAGCTTTAGAGGGTACCGTTGTAAATCGGGCATGGTAATATTTGCATGGAGATTCAGTTGAAATTATGCTTACAGTCCCTTTAAATTTAAGGTTTTAGATATTACCTTTACTTCCGTTCCGTCCATGTTAGCTCGACTAATATTTGCTGGTCTATCCCATTCACTGAAGAACATGTATCCTCGGTTCGGATGTACCACAATAGCTCTGGGTCTTTTCAGATCACTGAGCAGGGTTCGACGGTTATCTGGGGTCTTGGTGCTCAGCACATTCAGGGTTCCTTTCCTAAACAGTCAAATCAAATTAGAACTTCATTCCATATACATCTATATAATAAAGCAGCTCTTTGCTCACATATATGTGTTAGCTATAGCTGGCCAAACGGCTGGACTGAATGGGCTGACATTTTTTAGGGAACCAAGGGGTGCCCGGGGAGTTACATAGGCTAAAAAAGTTTGTATTTTTTTTCTTTAAAAAATCGAATTTGTTTTTTAAAATCGATTTTTTTCAAGATTCAATTTTTTTTCCACAGGCTCAGGCAACGAATGGCACTTCAGTGCGCTAGTTATACATATTTTATAAGAACTGTAAAAATCAAAAATGCGCGTCTGACGCGATTAATAAAACGAGTATAAAGCTTTTATCTTTTATTTCGGATTTATAGCGTTTAAAGGGACTGTAATCGTAATTTTTAAATTGAAAGCTATGTCTAATCAAGTAATATCAATATTCATAATTTTGAAAACAGAATACTATTAATTGTGGTGCTCGGTCAAAAATGGCTTTGCGTATTTTTACTGCAGGAAAACATACAAAAATGGTCATAATTAAACACTTTAAAACTTAAAACAACAAGAATATCTTTCTCATTACTGTATCGGTAAAAAAAGACATTGCCATCGCTCTGAAAGGAGGCCCGGAGGGTCACTTGAAATTACGCTTACAGACCCTTACAGCAGGAATTTGTTCCAGTTATGTTTACTACCTGGAGTCAATATAATTAAGGAATTTGCTCCAGCTATGTTTACTACCTGGAGTCAATATAATACAGGAATTTGCTCCAGCTATGTTTACTACCTGGAGTCAATCTAATACAGGAATTTGCTCCAGTTATGTTTACTACCTGGAGTCAATATAATACAGGAATTTGCTCCAGTTATGTTTACTACCTGGAGTCAATATAATACAGGAATTTGCTCTAGTTATGTTTACTACCTGGAGTCAATATAATACAGGAATTTGCTCCAGCTAGGTTTACTACCTGGACTCAATATAATACGGGAATTTGCTCCAGTTATGTTTACTACCTGGAGTCAATATAATACAGGAATTTGCTCCAGCTAGGTTTACTACCTGGACTCAATATAATACGGGAATTTGCTCCAGTTATGTTTACTACCTGGACTCAATATAATACAGGAATTTGCTGCAGTTATGTTTACTACCTGAAGTCAATATAATACAGTTATGTTTACTCCTGGAGTCAATATAATACAGTTATGTTTACTACCTGGAGTCAATATAGTACAGGTTCCTTGAAGCCCAATCCATCGCTAGTCCTTCAACACCTTCGTTCTGACTTGCTAGAACATTCTCACGTTGGGTTCCATCTTTCTTTACCTACATGATAAAGATAAGATTATAAAAGGGGGAAACATGAACGGAAAGATGAGAAGGTGGATAGTGAAAGATATGATGATGATGAGAAGTTGACATAAAGTCGGATGATGTATTTATTGGATGAAAAAGATGGATGTAAGATTTACTTGCTTACTTATTTACAAGGATGGATATTTTATTGATGATAAATAATTGGCTGGATGAGTTTTTGGATATGTGATGGTTAACTGGATGACATTTGAGTGGATAGGTGAATGACAGGATGAATATATGACTGGATAGTTGGATGAATATTTGAACGAATGAATATTTGTCTAAAAGCACAGGAGAATATTTAAATGAATGAATATATATTTAACTGATAAAAGGATGAATAATGAGTGAATATGTGTCTGATGAATGAATGAATGAATGATGTATGAATATTTGGCCGGTTGATACAGTATGAGGATGAATCCCTGAATGATAAATGAATCCTGTACCTTGTAAATGACATCTAGGATAACATCACTGTAGTAAATAGCTTCTTCTCTGGCATCAAAATCCAAGCCAACAAACCGAGCAGACCTGATCAAATAAAAAATAAATAACAAAATATTTCAAAAAAGTTTCTATATTCTAAAGGAAAGAAAAAATTATATCAGGGTCTAGATTTACAGTTAGAGAGAAGTAATTGAACCGCGTATACGTAGTTGAACCCCTTTTCTTCAACTTGAACCGGCTCACATGAAAAGTGGTTTAACTACGTCTAAGAGATTCAACTACTTGCCTCTATTAATTAAATCTAGTTTACTGAATAGAAATCTAACCCAGAAACTGTCGAATATAATAATAAATATTATATAGATCAATACAATATCCAACACATCGGTCAAAAGAATAATTTAAAGATTTGTTTTCTTGAGACCCAGATCAGTGACCTTTATATTAAAGCACCAGCCATTTCTAAGTTCGAATCAAAAAATTTTATTATTCGTTGAGGAAAATCGTGTTAAAAAAATAATAAACCTAGCAACTATTCAAAAAGAATATATAATCGGTTTCATTTTTAAACTAAACGTTTGCCTGCCCTTCAGAAGATATGAATCAATCCTGTCATAGATTTTCACAAAAGTAAATCATGTTTTAAAATATTAAGTTTCAGAGAAAAAAATTGGTAAAGCGAGCCAATTTACTTTAATTTGATCGCATGTGGTTTCATTTGTGAAAACAAAGAAATAAACAAATCAATTCTGATGGGTTTGATTATATACCTGGATACAATGGGTTGGATTATATACCTGGAAACAATGGGTTGAATTATATACCTGGATACAATGGGTTGGATTATATACCTGGATACAATGGGTTGGATTATATACCTGGATACAATGGGTTGGATTATATACCTGGATACAATGGGTTGGATTATATACCTGGATACAATGGGTTGGATTATATAACTGGATACAATAGGTTTGATTATATACCTGGATACAATGGGTTGGATTATATACCTGGATACAATGGGTTGGATTATATAACTGGATACAATGGGTTGGATTATAAACCTGGATACAATGGATTGGATTATAAACCTGGATACAATGGGTTGGATTCTATAAACTTAGATACAATGGGTTGGATTCTATAAACCTAGATACACTGGGTTGGATTCTATAAACCTAGATACACTGGGTTGGATTCTATATACCTAGATACAATGGGCTGTATTGTATACCTGGAAACAATGGGTTGAATAGCATCGTTGAATGAAGGAACAATGGGATCCAAGACCTTCCCCTTGATAAACTTCTGCTGAGAGTACATGAGGAACTCAGTGAGACGAGTGCACCGTCGTTGATCACTAGATAGAGAAACCATTATAAATACAAATTATAATAATAAATACAAGTTCTAATAATAAATATAAATTAATTTGTATTAAAGGAATTCCAAAACTTTAAAATCAAATATGATCAGGACTTTGATATCAAAAATGATAAAAAAAATGTCATATTCAAAATCCGATTTAAAATCCGCCAAAATATGAATTTAAGAAACATTTTGTAAATGAATATTTGAAATACATAACCCAGCAAAAAATTGTGAAATAGCAAATACAAAAATGCAAGTTAAGTAAAGATACACTTAACTTTTAGCCAGAATTTCAATTTACCTATATGTACTTTTGGGTTTTTATGAGACACTAGCTTTAAAATTGTTTTCATAGCACTGGTATATGAAATTGTTAAAAAAAGCATTAGAAACAAACATTACAGTGGAATAGAAAAGTAAAAATGACAAAATAGAACAACAAGGAAAAAGAATAAGCTATAGAAAGATGAATAGTAAGACGATATAAAAATGATGGATAGCAAAACAGAAGAATAAGTAAATCAAATTGATAGATGGAGAATACAGTAAATAAGAAATAAAACTAAGGATTCAACCTCCCCCCTGAATCAATATGATGAAACCAACCCTAGTCCTCAAACACAAGGATTTCTTTGTATTAATCCCCCATAGAATGCAATAAAGAAGTCTCTAAATAGGTTTAAGAAAATAAATGCAATACAGTTAAAGGAATTGAGTCTTGTCACAATATCTGATTTTCTAATCCCTATATCTAAGCAACCCTATGTCGTAGATCTTAGATATTTAAATACATGAATTCTGATAGATCAAATTATCTAAGTTTGAAATATGAAAGGTCTACACCATCAGGTTGAAAAGATATAGGGATTAGAAATTTTTTTTTTGTGGCAAAGACTCGATTCCTTTCTTCCAATCACACTCACAATCATTTAAAAAAAAACTAGAGACATTTTATTTGTTTCGAATTTTTTTGGAAATTTTTTGAGGTCTGCTTTCTTGAACAACATTCTTAAAGGTATTCCTACTCTTAGGTCTTCTGATTTGTATTGAACCTGTTTAACCGTGCGGCGGTCCATATCTGTTAACTGTTGTATTGCGGAGTGTATGATGATGTAAAGATGTTTATATAAAGGATAAGGAAGATGCAGGATAAATCTTGTAAACCCTGACAAAAGCGTCCTTCAGAATAGATCCATCTCATGTTAAACATAAATTATTCCTTACACCCCCCCCCCCACTCTCCTCTCTTTTAAGATATATATTTGCCTACCATGAATATGAAATATTTCGACAAATAAATCAACTTTTGCAAAAATTAATTCTGAAATTATGGAATGGAAATCGTCACATTCGGGTTACTATACACCTGTGGCTGCAGCGCTCGGTCCAGAAATACTTGGAACCTAACCTTGACCAGTATTGAGACCCCCTGCCCCCCTTCAAAAAATTCTAAATACACAATATAGGGGGTCATTGCCATAGGCTCTCCCCTTCATTTTAGCACCCCTGACTTCCTTATCTCCTATACCTGTTAAGCCTGTAACCAATTTTAGAATCACTTATCCTAGCCCCCATATTTCCTCTGTCCTACTCCTAACCATACCCAGATCAAAGGTATCGATCTGTTTATTAAGCCCCCTCGCCCCCCCCCCCTCCCCAGTGAATATGAACCTAACTCCTACCTGTTTAGCCTGTAACCAATCTTACAAGCACACTTGTATCCTAGCCCCCATGTTTCCTCTGTTCTAGCGGTCAGAATACACATGTGCTCACAGTTCCCGTTATTCTTTCCACACGCATTGTAGCTGTCAGGTTGGGTCAACTTGTGGAATACCTTGATACCAATTGCCTCCTTCGTGGAACCCTGAACAATGAATGAATTAAAGACAATTGGAGTTATTAAATATAGACTATTAGGGTAATTTCAAGTAATTCTCCGTGCAATGACAGCAATTCTTGATTCACATCGATACCATTAAAACCTAAATCTGATATAGTAATTGGATGCAAAATGTTGAAAAATGTTTGATTCTGATAATTTTTTATATTGTTTCATATAAGCAAGTAATGCGTAAGTCACTTTTGCAGAGAAACCACAAATACAAATAAACGATTTTAAAAAAAATATTGATAACTAATTCATACTTGATCAGAAAACGCATTCAAGACTGGTGACATTATTAGAAAAAACAAATTATTAAAAAATCAAACCTAAATTTTTAATCAACTAAATTTTTTTTAGTTTTTCTATACCTTCGCTTCTATATTGTTCTCTACTAATTTAAATTTTAAATGTCAAGTAAAAGATAAATTATGCATCAGCCGAATCCATTCTCCCGGTCCTCCCTTTGTACAGGGTTACCCATAAAGGATGAGACTTTAAAGACAACTGTACGGAACTTATACTGTTTGTTTCCTTATATTCATGATTCCTTGAACTATGTATAAACATTCTTTCTTTCTTTGCTTAAATCCTCAAATTAGCCATTTAAAGACCAAATGAAAAGCAGAAGACTTAATTTAGTTGGGATTGTCATATTTAAAGATTGTTAAAGTCGTCTTTACAGTTTCATCCTATGTGGGTAATCCTGTATTAAACCCCCCATATACCTGGATA